TAATTCATAGTCAGCTAATTAACATTCAGAGAGCTGTATTATAGCTCGAGCAGCGCCCCCTAACAACCACCAACCCCAGGTACTTTACATGTAATTAAGGAGCACAAGAGAAGAAGAGACGAGGAAGGAAAATACTCATTTACTTTCCTCTGTATTCGAGACAGCATTTTGTAGCTAAACTGCACATATGGAAGGTGCACACTGCTGATAATATTATGCAGCGCTGATGTATCTCTGAGACAACAGACTCAAGTTGTATTTAATCAGCTGTACCGGCTGTATGCACAACATTTTTAATGCACCATAACTGGGGTTCAGTCCCTGGATCTGTGATTTCAGGAAAAACAAACAACATTATGCAAATACTATTTCATCTGTTGAAAGTGAGAGCAACGAGTGATGAAGCAAAGGCGGATGTATCAACTGACGAGGGTCTTGTACGTGAGTCGGCGTGGCCCACCCAGCAGGACGTGTGGTCACACCTTACACTCAGAGGACACTTCTCTCTGAAAATAGCATATTTGTAATGCCGCCGAGGATGACTGACCTGCATGTTTACTGCCCGACTACATGGCTGACCTTTGAGCCTCAACAGGCCATCACAGCGGCTCACACAAGAAGAAACAAAAGTGATTCAGCATTTTCACTTTCAACTGGGGCAGGCAGAACTCTATCAAGATACTGTGTGTGGATCATGGGGAGAATACAAACAAAGATAGGAGATATTGATTAGGAGAGCATGGGGGCTCGGCATGGTAGTCCACCAGCAATGTCTATTGCAGGCCTAAGGACATTTCAGGGCTAAAATATCATAACTAGACACCATGTTAAATGTACTTATGGTTCACTGATACTGACTCATTGACCTTCACTTTCCTTTAGTTTCTCCTTCATCACTTCATCTCTCCTCTTTGCTACTATGTTGTTTTCTTTCTCAGACTTTAATCTTAAAAGCACAGTGCTCCTGATGAGATACATTAAAGCTGCCCAGCTCCAAGCACAGGTCACAGACTCCTTCCTCGTGATCACGCACCTCAACCATATTATTGATTTTTAGAAATCAATTTAGTCTTATTTTTGTACCAAACAATGGACGTTAACCAAGGAGGAGTTTCCTACTTGTTACTTTAGTCAAAGCAACAAGGATGAAAAGCCTTCTGAGGTACAGGGATTTTTCATCTTTGATCTATGCATTTAAGAGACATAGATCTTAAAGGAGAAGGTTTTCTGAGAAATAAGGGAGAAAAATGCTCCCATAGCCACAGGGAACAGCGTGACGTCATTCACTGTTTGCGGTTTTGTGACACACACACACACACAAATGTATGAAGCAGTGTTTTTTCCAGATGAATGACTGTTGAGATGCCTAGTTCTTCTTTAGTATGATAACCCTTTGGAGCAAGACAGAGGTGTATTACATAGAGTCCAGAGCCTGAACCAAGCATCGGTCAAAGTGGTGGGAGGGCCAGAGGATGGAGGAGAGAGGAGGAGAGAGAAGTGAAAGAGAGTGAGGGGTTTCTATTTCAAATCTCAGTGGACCCCTGAGGCGCTTCCGTTCTGGTCGCATCCTCAATACCAAAATAAATAATTTCCATCAAAGGATAAGCTCCTGCCATCACAGCATCCACAGCAAACTCACGCAGACAGATGCATTTCAGGGCTGCTCGAAAGTCTGTAGCTGCGAAAAGGACCAGCTGAGGACTAAACAGGCCCAGCTGGCTCAAAATCCAACCAAAATCTATTTCATTCTTGGACATAATCATAAAAGCAGGTAGCCTTAACAGAGAGGACATCTCCAATCATCCAACTGAAAACTGTTTTCCACACTATTATATAACATCTCTATTATGTTGCTTCATGGAAAGGCTGCTTTGTGAATGGTCTTTTCTTGCTCTGAAAAAGCTGTCCTTCATATTTAAATAGAAAAACATCTTTTAAATATTTTTATCTACATCTATTAAGCTCCATATCCAAAAAGTTGTTTGTTTGCCAGGGCCCTCTTTTTGCTTAAATGAAGCTATAAATAATAACAATGCATCAATCTTGTTATGTTTCTTCAGGCACTTTACAATCTTGTACAATATTTATTCAGTTATTACTCTTTGGTGGTACACTACTACTGCAGCCACCTCTGCCCTGTGGCAGACTGACAGAAGCAGGGCTGCCCATCTTTGCCATCAGCCCCTCCAACCACCACCTGTCACTCACACACACCAATTTCTCACACACACCAGTGGGTGAAGTGTCTTGCCAGAGACAACAGTTTCCACTGGTGCCCCACTGTGCCACCTGGTATTCTTTCAGATCCAAGGAGTAATGAGCCCCAAATCTTATGTTGGTATGGCCATAACAGCAACAATAAATGCTGTGCTAAGTGGTTATGACCACGCTGCAACACTATAATTGCAAAACCAAATTCATTATTTAATGTTATGTGCTGTAATCTACCTTGCAGACCAATATGATGTGGGCTATTATCTGATTTTTTTTTTTCGCTACCAACACGGTGTCTCTCCCATGATGTTTCTTTATTCATGGGTTTCACCTTCCTCTTTACAGCTGACATTCTGAGGGCTTTTATGTTAACCATTTATAAGACAGTACATTGAATTGCTAATTGCTATAGCAACTGTGCAAAATATTGATCACTCTGAAATTCCTGGATTGGCTATCCAGATTGTGTCCTTAATGATCTGCGTCACAACGTGCAGGCTGTGGGAAAATCTTGTATACGTGCAGCTACAATTTCGTGACTAGGCAACATTATGGGCATTTAGGCTCCCTCCAGATATGTGAAAACCAGCGACATGACACCGACCATTGCTTGACAGCGTGGAACAGCCAAGAGCGCACGCACGAAACCAAGGCTGCGCGTCCGAGAGTGCGCCAGTGACTGTGTGTTTTGAATTCAAATGCAGTAGCAGTACACCACCAGACCTGCAAATGCGAGCCTGAGAGGGGAAGAGGGAGAAGGCGAGTGAAGGAGAGGAGACATGGATGGCGCTCATGTCTTTTTGAGAAAAGGGGGCGAGCGAGAGAGAGAGCTGGATTGCCAAGCTTTCAACATTTTTAGCCCAGTAAAAAATTCACAATATGCAGCAACTCACAGTAGACTACTCCTCCCATCACACTAGCCTTGGACAAAAAGTCAGAATCCAGTGAATGAAAGAAAAGATGAAATAAAAAAAAAAAGACCTACCATGTTGACTTCAGAAACCATGTCTATGCTGGCGATGTCTATATTCATTCCCACTGCCACAGGTGCACCTGTGTGGGAAAGGATGTGTTAATAAAAGATATTAAAAACAAATCGCATACATATTTCTCGTCATATAAAATTTACACAATTCTCAGCCTTCCGCCTACGAGCGTAATGGGGGATTGGTACAGCTCGCTGATTTAACGCGCACTAATGCATGTTGACTTTTTACAGAAATAATGAAACAGTGATGAGCTGGATCGATCAGGTTAAAAGCCTGTCTTATCTTCTCATCAAATGAAATATGCGTTCATCGCTCATGTCTTGGACTAATTGGAGAGGCCTATTTGCCTGTGTAGGGATGATTATGCAAATTAAAACAGATTTTGCGATTCATTAAACATGTATTGCACGTCACAGCGGCGTGAAAACACGACAGTCGTTTGCATTTTACCTCCAAAATCTGGTCTCAACCGAATGTCATATCCCTTCATCAGTCTGTCCACTGTTTCTTTTACAAGGGGCATATTGCTTGGATCTTTGAGGTCCTTGGCGCTGCGGAGGAAAGAGGTGGTGTAATGCAAAAGGTCCTATTAATATCATATGCCAGGCACGCTTTAAACAGGCTACATGAGACATCCAAAGCAGGAAACGCAGGCGAGACAAAAAACACCTTACCTTTGCGCCCAGACGAATGTCACTAATAACGAAAAAGTCAAAATCCCAAAGTGGTTTTTCCTGATCCTCCCCATCGCAACAGTTTCTGAGATGGTTTCGGGATGCGAGTGAGGAGAGCGCACATCCAACTTACTCCAGACAGCGCAGAGGAGCCAATGAGGAGCGCATGCGTGCAGGGAGCCCAAGATCAAAGAGTAGAGACTGATGATGGTGGATGAGCAGTTTCCATTGCAGTGAAAAATATTAAAGGGACAAGTGTTTGTGCGTAATGAAGAAACCAGAGGCCTCTGTGAAAACAACTGTGGCATTTAGGCGTTTATTTGTTGTTTGTGGACATTACAGGATTATGGATGTGAAGATTTTTACAAGGTCAAACAAGCTTTAGCTGGGTGTAGTTACAGGTTTGGACCAATAGGGTAGTAAACTTTTTATTGGAAGGTAGTTACCATCAGGTGGACAATACATTATCAATCATCAACTTTAATATCTTCAACATAACTAATGAATATAATACATTGCTGGCAGTTGAACATGCAAACAAACCAAAAGGAACAGATGGAAAGCACATCCTTAGAGCAGTTTCTCACATTGGAAATTATTTTGAAGCTGCAAGGAGTAGAAGCTTGCTCTAAACTGCCTTTGATGTGGTTGTAGTGGGAGCTGCGTTTCTGTAGAGGGCAGACTTCTGAGCATTGATTCAGAGTTGCATCACCTCCTGTTACAGTCATCATAGATTATATCATGTGCTTCTTTTGATGCGTTTCTTGGTTTGTGTCCGAGTGAGTATAATGCATAGATCCGTGTGTGGGGGGCTATACAGACTGGCCCAGGAGTAGTGTGTGCTTGGAGTTTAAAGGTCCTATATTACACGTGCTTTAAGCCATTATAACATTCTTACTTTATTAGAAATATACCCGTAGTTTTGTCTCACTCACATATGTTTGAGTAACGCTGCTTTATTTGGCTGTCTCGATCTCCAATGCTCAAAATGCTCTGGTCCACCTTGTGATGTCATGTAATGATAGTTTTCAAGTTAGCAGCTATGAAATGAAGGTGCATGGAGTTTAAAAACACAGTGGAGCACTTTCTGTATTACCACATGAAATCACAAGGTGGAGTGTTTTTATGTTTGAGAAAAGAACTCAGCCTAAATATGCAGGGTTTGTGTGTGAAACATGTGTGAATGAAAATGAAATTCCAGGTATGTTTTGATTAGGAAAGAAGATAATACCATAGATCAGAACATAGCGTAATATGGGCTCTTTAAAGCACACTGTACTGATCTCAACAGTGTGAGCATTGGTCAGAGCCTGTGAAATGAATGCGATTCATTTGCCTTTGTTAGATGAGAGGAGTGCAAATGCTGAGAGGCTGTTCACGTAGAGACAAGGCTCTGCGCTCTCCAATCCAATGTCCCAGGTTCAGATTTGCTGATCATATTGCCTAAAAATAACAGAACGCAAACCAAATTAAAACAAGAAGCACAGAGTATCCTAAACACAATCTCACAGCTGTCATTTTGAAACTCACTGAGAGTTACAGACATGATGCACTTATTATCTCCCATGTTTTCTGTCTTATAATTCTGTAGAACCATCTTAACAAAACAAAACAAAAAACAGCCATAGAAATTCTCAGACTGAAACACGAGGAGCATGATGAGTAGATTTGCACCCCCCAGTGTTATATAACAGATCGCTCCCCATCCCACTCCATCTCTGTTTTTGCACTGAATCTCTTTACTTCCTTCTTGGACTTGGTGGAGCTGTGCATAGCTAACATAGTGCAGAATGGTGTGAATAAGTCTGGTGTTTTTTCATTTTGTTAATAGTGCACATGTGTTGTATCTGTTCTCATGGGGTTGTCATAGTCCCACTGGAGAGATGGTGTTAGCAGCTTTCAGGTAACATGCAAATGATTGTGTTTTTTTTGGTGAAATGAGCCAAGGCTGTTTTGTTTTGATGACAGTAAAAGTCAGTGTTGGTGTTAAAAGCAATAACACAGCATGACATTTTTCATTTTTTGTTTCCCCTCCTGGGATTGCCTGTAAAATGTTGATGTGTTGAGGCCTTTTACATTGTGGACTGTGGTAGTTCTATAACAATAAAACAGACATTTCCTTTAGAATTGGAGCCACATCATATACTGTATAAGTTGAATCTGTTATCATGGCAATACAATTAAATTCATACCAAGTACTACCATAGATTGCCTTTTTACCCATGAAAGAAATCTACTGATTTGACCAGTATTCATAGCAGAAGTAATATTTTTAAGCAATCATTTTTACATATTAGCCAAATGTCACCTTATAATTCTATCTTCATTTAAATTAATCATTTAGTTTAATCCTCATTTAAGGCTTATTTTAGACCTAGTTTAATAGAGGCAATCTTTGTATAGTAAGAATTTCATAAACATGTATTGGAAGTGCTTGTATTTGGGTTACAATTTAATTAAATTAATTTCTTTAATCATAAGATTTTTTATTTTTTTTTCAAATGGTCACATGTAAAAGTCATTTTTTTTATATTATTTATAGTGTTTCATTTTAAAAGCCACTGTAGATGAGTGGCTTTTAAGTATTGCTACAATAACTGTAATTACAATGACATTTTGTTTAATTGCACAGTAGGCTATCCATGAGTTGCAGAGTGATAAAAACCTAGCACCGTTTCCATTGCACTTAACAATTCAAAACAAAATATTATATATTTTCTTTGAATGAGCAAAAGGTACCATGGTGATACAATGCACACAGAAAACACAGACAAAAAAAAATTAAGATTGTCTGAACATTGAAACAAAAAGGTTTGAGTGACTGACTGAAACAAATGTTGGCCAATGCTAGCTAACTTGTAACTGTAAGTTTACTAGTGAAACTTGTTAAAGCGCACAAATCATCTCCCCTGTTGTAGTTCCAGCTAAGTCAAGGGTGACCACATGTCCTTATTTACCCGGGACAGTCCCAATTTTGAGTCTTGTGTCCCCTGTCCCAGTGGATTTATCCAAAACCAGTGATTTGTCGCAGTTTTGTACAAGAAATGTCCCTGATGTCCCTAATTTTGACCAGTCTGATACCTGCCAACAGTAAAGAGAGGCGTACATTGTAATTTGTTTTAAAAAACTGCTTAAAAACAACCAAAACACAAAGAAAATGTAACTATACTGGCTGACACGTTAGTCATGAATGATCTCTGCATAACAATTTTCCTTAATTACACACTTGATTTACAACTTTATTATTACCAATCATAAAAAAAGGGATGTCCCAGCTTTTTTATTTTGAAATTATGGTCACCCTGGCTAAGTCAACTGTTTCTGGTCAGACTGTGTTAAAATAAAGATCAGATGAAGTCAGATTTAAGTAACAGAGCTTCTAACAGAGTAGTGCTTTCAATTAGCTAGCTTCAAACCCCAGGTGAATGTTGATGATATTAGCTGCAGTTGCAAAGTATCAGTAAACAGGAAGTTGAAACCAATGACTACACTTAAATTACAGAAGAAATGTACCTGGGCTTCTCCATTGTGTCTTTGGCCAGGTAAATGTACCAGTAGACCAGATTGAAGAGACCAAAGGCCATGGGGAAGAGCAGCCGGGCGTACTTGTCAATGGGGCTGGTTCCTGCTAACTGTGGGATCTGAGGAAAGGCTGATCCCTGCTGCAGGAATATGGGGACTGGCACCGGTGAAGGCTCTTCACTTCTCTCACTACGACACATGGAGTGGTTTCTCCGTTTGAGGCCTTCCCGGGGGTTACTGTCTGTCTAGTAAGGGAATAAAAGAGAGAGCAGAGGGGGTTGTTGTTAATTTTCTGCGATATGGTTATTTGAACGTGTAAACAAGATTACAAGTGGTTTTAATATCCACAGGAGGTTTTCTTTGAATGAGAGAGTAGTGTCCCAGAGGAATGCAGCAGGTAGTTTGCTCAATGCCCAAAGGCTGGTGGGATTAGGAACTAGAGTATAGCTACGCAGGAGCTGGATCTCCACTCTGTTCTCACACCGAGGCTATTTTTAAAGCATCTAACCATGAGCCCAACACGTGAGGCAGATCCCAGGAGGACACTGGATGGCTTACTGTATTAGCATAAAGCATATAGCAGGAAAGGAGAGTGCTACACCAGAAACAGAACAACAAAACACATTACTATTTAATTAAATGAAGCAGAAAGGATGAAGGAGGATGACTACTTTGAAAAACAGAGAAACAAATCCATAGTGCCCATAATTAAATTCTGTTCTCTAAATTAGCTTTCTTGATTTCCTTCTACCCAGTCTTTATGTACTCCTGTTTTGTGAATAGTCAGATTGACCCAATCCTGAGCCTACAGTGAAAATGTATACACATAGAGTTATTAAAAATGCTTATACAAAATATACAAAGCACTAAAGTATTTTCAACCAAAATCTACTGTATATTTTTAAAATTTTTCCAGACAGGAGCAACTGAAACAGTGTTGTATCCATGGGTTTCAGAATGATGAGGGACTAGGATTGTGGCCATAGTGATTAATAATTTAAAACAAAATCTTTTGAATGGGGAGACATCCTTAAGATATTGCATATGAAAGAAAGTTGAAATTGTTTTCTTTTTTTTAACAATAAAATATCAGGCAATTATATATCTTATTTCTATTTCACTACTTTTCAGTTGCTTACCGAAGCATTGTCATCGTCATCCTCATCCTCCTCTGCCAGCACCTCCAGCCTCTCCTGTTTGGAGTTCTTTTCCTTCAAACGATGGGCTTGGATGGTGGCAAAGTAATTCACTGCTGCAAACTCCACCAGAGCAAATGCCACAAATCCAAAACACACGGCGATGAACCAGTCCATGGCTGTGGCATAGGACACTTTGGGAAGAGACTGGCGCGCACTAATGCTCAAGGTAGTCATGGTCAGCACTGTAGTGATGCCTGAAGATACATTATTATTATTATTATTATTATTATTATTATTATTATTATTATAATTGTAATAAATACCAGTAAGACACACAAACTCAAGTAATTTACTTCTGTATATTTGACATTATTGGTTTAGTTATGATGCAGTGATAGTGGTCATAGCATAGTGGTCATGAAATTAGTGTTACCAATATTAGTAGCTGTTGTAACTTTTATAGAAGTGACAGTGCTGGAAAGTGCTGGGTCCCTTAAAGTTTATCACTATTTTTTTTATGACACAAACTAAACATTTTTATGTAAATTTTAGCGGATTTTTTTTTTTTTTTTTATGAATTTGTGGTGATACTGTCTAGTGATTTTATTGAGCTCTCCCAGGACATGCCATCCAAAAAAATGTCACCAAAAGAAAAAAATGTGTCCGGTAACAGTTGGGGTCAGTGCCAAAATGTACCATATAGGACCTTTAAATGTTACCCAGTGTTGGAGCTGAATTGCAGATTTTGAAGAGCTATTAATCTCATTAGGAATTAAAGCTTGAGTAACAATAAAGTTATACTTTAGTTTTGTTTGCTCTTCTTTCACATATAATGATATAGAACACTTAGCATAATAATTGTTATGTGCGCACTGTAGTGATGCTGGCATATGTAGGACTCTATTATAAAAACTTTTTCAGATTCTTCAAGTGTTCATTTTTGTCACTGAATTATTTACTACTGTGTCATTTCTAGAAATAAACTGAATTGAGTCTTTTACCTGCAACTGTCCGAGCAGGAACTGATTCTTTATTTATCCAAAAGGAGACTTGGGACAGCACCACCACCATTATAAGGGGTATATAGGTTTGTATGAGGTAATATCCCAGCTTCCTCTGGAGAAGAAAATGGACCACCTGCACAGAGTAGTGACCTGCAACATAAACAGAACGTGTGAAGAAATCTTGCTGCAGGGGACAGAACAAGTTACCACCAAGCACATACCCTTGCCTGCCCTTCAAACACAACTGTGGCTGATAAAACCGAATGAATTCCTGCTGAATACTGGTTGTTATATATGTATAAGGTACAGTTGTATATTTTTTTAAAAGAAACATTAGAGACTATATTCTAATAAATTTACTTGTAAAGTAACCTAACCTAAGTTGTAGGATGTGAGGATAAAAATACTGCATACAAATACTCCTGTTGGTGAATTCGCATTAAGCTCTATAGTACCTCAAACTCACAGTATGTATTAGCTCCGACCACTTAAGTAAGCATCTCATACAACTGCTGATTCATATGGTCTAGATTAGAATCAACTAATGAAAATTCTTAAAGGAAGTAATTAGACCACCTAACAGAGTTTAATTTAATTTTAAGAGTGTATTAAGTTACTGTGGTAAGTTACAGCAGAATTTGAATATTTATGAGCTGTCAGATACCTGTGTTTGATTTGAAGATCTCACTGGACAATGCCTGTCCCACCAGATCATACTGCAGAAGACTCATTGACTCTTTGGGGCAGTCCACAGATGCACTTAGACCCTTTCTCCAGGTAAAGACAATCTCACTGCTGGTGTAGGCATCTAGAAAGACAAGAGTAAATTAAGTGTGCTTCCAGACATAGTCATAACATTTTGCCTTATGGTGTAAATGTGTGAAAATGGTTGCTGCTCATGATAATTTTCTCAAAAAATTTGGCTACCTGATATTTTGGTATAATGAATTTGACTTTTTGCTTGATGAATGTTTAGCAAATAAAAGGTTTATTATGCTGTCCTGTTTTAAGTACTGTTTAAAAATGTAATAAAGGCAGTAAATGAAACATTTACTGCAAATATTTAATTAAATAATATGTTTTATATAAGGATTGCTGTTTACAATAATGAAATTATTATTCTTACAGCTTCCGAACCGAAGAGGGCAGGCGTGGCCATCCATAGGGAAATCTTCCAGTTGCATTGGACATTCGGCACTGATTGTAAGTCTGAAAAAAAAAAAAAACATGTTACAACAAGTTTACATGTTACATGCAATCTCACAATATGACAATATATATTCTTATTACCTCATAGTGTAAAGTACTGTCCCATTTTGCATGATTCGAAAAAGCTTATTGGGTGTGGTCATGTTGTGAGAAATGGACTTCTTAGAGTTGCGGAAGAAAGTGTCTGGTGTCCATATTTTGTCCACCATGAGGTTGTTTAGTCTCAGGATTTCAGTGGGACCCTCAAATTTGAGCCGCTCATCTACCCACATCTGTCGAAAGAACATGTCCATGGTGTACTCCTGTGGCATTAAAGGGGACATATTATGTAAAGTCGACCTTTCTGAGCTTTTAACCATGTTGATGTTCCCTCATCGTTAGTTTCAAAGCTGTATTTATGCTTGTATTAGTTATTCCGCATTGTCCTGCAATCAAGATCTCCCCAAAATTCTGTTTTCACCTAGCCCCTATCTCCACCCACAGTTCCGTACTTTATGATTATTACATATACATACATACATATAGGGTTTGAAAATGAAACATTTTTCAGAACAGAAAATTTGTTACTAATTACAATGAAATGGTACTATGAAAAGGTGAGGTGCAGATTTGCAAATATGAACAGTAGGTCAACAGCAACAAAAGTTGTATTTGAGTTGTTTGTGGAAAACACTGGACAAAACGTAACACTATGTCCATTATGTTTAATTATTCATGTAAGAGCCATAATTTAATTTATTAAAAAGTTATTTTATATTTTACCATAAATTCATATTTTATTATACCTTAAAAACTATTATTAAAATAGTATTCTTAAAATTATAGAAATGTTAAAATGAATTATTTTCAGTCCCAATTTAAGTTACTTCAGTCAATTTAAGTCCTTAGGTTTATAGCGTAAGAGGGTGGGTCCACGAAAGAGTGTGGGTCCTAGGGAAATCAGGTCAAATAGGGAGACAGGTGTGTGGGGACTATGGCATTGTGGAGGGCGACCGACACGGTCTTTGACCGCACTGCACTGCACCGCACCGCACTGTACTGCATACGCTGAAAATCTGCAAATAAAAGAAATCAAACGAACTACGGACTACGTGAGTTTTTGTACATTTCGTGTGAGTCAAGAAGCGGACGCCCTAAGGATGGCTATTTACATATATTACAGCTCATGTTAAACTAGAAGCCATAACAATTCAGAAATACCAGAAAAATAGCATGATACGTCTTCTTTCACACAAAAAAAGGAAAATCTCTGTTAGAGTTTAGCTTTTTTTTCAATGTACTTGTATTCAACTTTCTCAACTGAAGTAAAATGAGAGGCAGTGATGAATGCCACTCATCCCAGATAATCATTAATCAATCTACTGAAGCATTCTTTCAGTCTGACGTGCTGTCATATTGATTTAAAGGCCATCAGTAATGGAGCCATGGTGCTACTGAAACAGATTAAAGCTCATTAATTGGTTTTGTGGCAGATTGCCCATAAGGCAGACATTTAGTGGCCTCTGTTATCTCAACACATTACTATATACATCTCCAAAGACATGCCATATCTCACCATCTCAACATCTGAAACAGGTCCAAAACTTGTGACAAATATGTCTGTCTTTACTTCTGTAACACCACCTTGAAAATAAAAATAAATAAATACTCATTGAAAAACACATAAAATTATATAGGATCAGCAGAATGTGACAACAAATGTGATACATCACCCACCTCCAGATCCAGGACGAAGTCTATTATCATAGCCATCCAATAATCGGTCCAAAATACGAGTAATGTTATCTGAGTTAATCCTCTCATTTCCATACACTACAAGACTACAAAGAAAAGGACCTAAGACTATGATCACTTTTGAAATTATATTGAAGCAACGAAGACTTACCTTACAAATGAGATAAGTGTAATTACAGTTACTGACCCGGTGGCCATGGTTTATACCAGATTCTGCAGAATTTCTTCCCAATAAACTTTTAGGACAACGCTATTTTAAATTCCTTTTTGAGATAAAAAATGAATCATCTTTTACATCCAGTGGTCTTTGAAGGCAGTCATGTGTCTGGTTAGTAAGAAGGAAACAGAAGTCACCACGACAAGAATAGTAATCTCATTAACAGATTAACTGCAAGGAGGGAGCCCTTTTTAGGTAAATACAAATGGTTGTAATTTATATATATATATATATATATATATATATATATAAGATCAGAATTACTTTTATTCATCCTCTAAAAAAATCTGTCTGTTACAGACATGCAGCCAACTGCAGAAGAAATGTTCAAGAACTTATCAAAAATAAAATGATGAACAATAAAATGAAACTCAAGTATCGCAACAAAAATAAATTTAACACTAAGTCGGTCTTTTTAATTACCTAAACTCCCGGTGAAAATAAAATAAACTTTTATATACATATATGTATATACATTTATAAAGTATATTTTATTTTTACCAGGGAATTGTTTTCGTTTTTGTTTGTTTGCTTGTTTCTTTGTTTTTGACTTACTAGTAGTATTCTTCCTACGTACTTTTGTTCCATTTGCATTGGTATAATCAATCTAATGTTTGTGCTATACCTAATGTTGTACACACCATGGCGCTGTAGTGAGACTTACTGAAACACCCGGAAATGAGACCAAAGCACAGAGGAAGAAATGCTGTTGAGTTAGAAACGTAGAAAACAACAGAAATAGTAGCTGCCATGTGAAAATTATTTCGCTATTCCTAATAACTAAACTATTGTTCTGAACAGAGCGTAGTTTTTATCAATGCAAAACATTTTGTTTAAAAGAAAAAAGCATCTGGTAGCTAGAGTTAAGCGTTATTAGCCGAGCGTGAGGCAGCGGGATGTCTGTGCACTTTGAGGAGAGGAGCGGTGTGGTCCCCTGTAAAACCCCCTGGGGGTCCTGGTACCAGACCATGGAGGAGGTGTTTATCGAGGTGAATGTTCCTCACGGGACGTCCGCCAAAGAAGTGAAGTGTCGCCTGGGCTCTAAGGACATTGAGCTACATGTTAAAGGAAAGGAAATATTCAAGGTAGTAAATTAACTTGTCATGAGTAGGCTGTGTGTTTTTTGTTCGGGAAATATTTCTACATTTCGGCTGTGTCCTTTTTCATTTCTTCCTTTTTGTCTTTTTTTTTTTTTTTAAAACATCTATACATCTTGTCTTTGGTCTGTCAGTCTTACTATACTGCCTGACTCGAAACTCTGAACTCGATAGGCTTCCCTTTTCCCCCAGAACAAACAATGCCAGACAGGGTGTAAAAGAGGACACTCAGTGAAATTCTTTATAATAATGGAGAATTAAGTGTTTAAAACTACATTGTTATTTCTTCACTATTTATTTAATACAGATTGCTTCCTCATTAAACATCTTCAGCTCTGTCTCAAAAGGTCTTTGACTCTGTACCACTATTCTCTAACTATTCTTGCATCACACCTGTCATCTCTTCCACTTTGTCAGTTATCAGAGATTGTTGAACACAAATACCTCAATATGAATCTCATTTAATTGTCTTTTATGCGCTCACCAGGGGAATCTGTTTGGTACAACTGTTTCTGATGAAGCTACATGGACATTAGGTGGGTTTATGTGAATGACATGTCTGTGATTCATTGAATTGTGGCATTTCCTCATTAATGCACTTGTCTTTTTTTGTAGAGGATAAATGTCTCATCCATATAGTCCTAATGAAGACCAACAGAGAAGCAGGGAACTGCTGGTCGTCTCTGTTGGAGGGGGAGTATTGTGCCAACGCGTGGGTCCAAGATCAGATGCAGAGGAAACTCACACTAGAGAGGTTCCAGCGGGAAGTAAGTATTGAGGTGCAGGCATTTTCAGATATATCTTAAAACAGCCATCATTTGAGGAACTTGATCGCCAAAGGTACTTTAATTATGTGATGGCTCCATTATTGTGCTTTATTTTTTATTTCTTTCACTTGGAAAATGCAATGGCTTAAAAATATAAGCACACAAAAATCTTATCATGTAAAGCACAATAGATATGGATGCTATAAAAGCTCTCATGTTACCAATTTTGAGTCTTTACTGTTCGAGTACAGTTGTGAAAAAGCAACTACATTGTTTTGTTTTCTTTCTTCAGAATCCTGGTTTTGACTTCAGTGGTGCAGAAATCTCCGGTAATTTTGCAGGAGGCGGCCCGGACTTTTCCAGTTTACAGAAGTAACAACTTCTAAAGGTGGACATTTGACCAAAATTATGAAGTTGATGAATATTTCTTTCAGATCATTTTTGGATATTTGGTTCATGTTAAGATGGCAACTGAGAACAATCTTAACTTTGCAGGTCTATTAAAAAAAAACATATTAACCTTTTGGCTTTTCAATAAAGTTTTTATTGAAAGGTACAAGCATATAGGTTTACCAGATGGTGGGAATTACAATTTTGAATTGAGAACACAACTCATTAAAAAACAAAAACAAAAAAACAACACAGGGAACTGTCAAATATTCTAACAATTATTCTATTGTAATTACCACTTTTGTGTTCTCTGCCTAATTGAAAACTAATAATTTAGCATAAGCAATGCTTTGTGTCTACAAATCAGAAATCAGTGAAAACAACTCATCGGTAACCGCTTGGCAAAGCTGATGTTCAGCTTCAAATATGATTCGCTAGAAATGACGAATCATAAACTAGCCTTATTCACTGGAGAAATCCAGAGCTTCCTCGCCATAACCAAAAACTAAAATTATCACCTTGGGTAGGAGTGTGCATTCACGACAGTTTAGCAACCTAGGGTGAGAGTTAAGGACTTTGGGCCTGATTTCTTGGTTCCTTTTTTGATGTTCACAAAATCCTTCTCCCTCCTCTTCCACACAGTGGACTGAGGACCTAGGTGGTTCTATACTTATTTGCTTAAAACCAGCAACCCAAATACCAAACATCATGGTATGGATTTAACAAGAACATACTGTACACTCGTGCAAGCAACTCAACCACGAAAGTAAAACTAAGCCAGGATGCAGACAAAGCATTACTGTTCGTAGATGGGGCAGATGGAACAGTGCTTGATGTATGATAGATGATTTTGGCTTTTCTTTAAAGAAGGCCATCATCTATGATGGCCATCTGTAAAGAAAATTAAGTTGAATTAAGTGAGTGACCTTGTTGCTATCCAAATTTTGCTAAAACAACTGAAGAAACTTTAATGAAGGTCACCCAGTTACTGAGAGCTCAGGTAGAGATTTCAATTGGCTGACTCTGGGATGGTGGGTAGATGAGTGATTTTGTAGTAGCTGTGCTTCAGCTGGCGTGCAGTTCTTCCTGAAATGGTCCAGCGAAGTCTTTGACTGTTTGGCCTGGAGCACTTGGAGGTGGCATATTCAGTCAGGCACTTCCCGACCAGCTCTCGCACGCAAACCAGATCACCATCCTTGATCTACAGCGATAAGCACAAATTATTATTATGTGGAGTAAAGTTGCCCAGATTTCATTGAACACTGATCACTTACATAAAGCTGCATCTGAATAGAGAAAAGGGCATCAAATATCTTGTCACTGTGCTCTGGATCATGTTGCTCACAAAGTTCAAAGCTCAATAGAGCAAGAGCTAGCAGAGATGGCTACAAACAAAGTACAATTCAGATTAACCGAAGATTAGCAGCAGCATTTCATGTCAAACAAGCAGGATGAACTCTCTGTAGCTCACCTTAATTTTGGTGAAAACAAATGAGCAGTGACAGACTTTCAGTTGAGCCTCCAGTCTTTCAGTGCTCAGGATCTTCTTACTATTAAATAAAAAACAAAACAAAAAAAAAAACTGTAATCCTTGGCTATTTCACACAGGGAAATGTCACTTAAATGCATGATGCTTGTAGGTGCACGTGCCTGATGGACCTAAATTATATTTTTCTCTAGTGCTCCCTTCAAATGCTAAATATGAGACACGTTTTAGTTCTGTGAAACTAGTTGAGTCATAAGACTCAACCTCCATGTGACCATCCTCACCTCTCATCATCAAGCTGCTCCTGGATGTGGCGGTGAAAAAGGCGGAGAAAGCGCAGTGTTGTGGGGGCCTTCACCTTCCAGTGGAGCTTCTCCATGATTATCTTCTCCATCCTCATCATGTCAGACACCGTGAAGCGGTTCTGAGTGATGCGGATCAGATCATTGGCAAGAGGCACATTCTTCTCCTCTTCATTAGACTTCACAGCAATGTAGAAGCAGCACAAACCCACACAGGACAGGTGTTTGGGCTGAATCTATTCAGAAACAATATATAATCTTGAGTTATTTGAACATAATTTTACATTCCACTTGTTTGTTTTTTTTGTACAGACCTTCATGACTGACAGAAATCGATCCAGGAGGCTGATAGCCAGAGAAAAGGTCTCAGAACTGAATCCAAAGAACCTGGTCAAAGACAGCAGGTCCCTCACCTCCAGTTCCCGCAGTTTGGTGGTCATTCGGAGCCCATTGTCCTGCGCACTCTCCAGATATCTCAGGCCTCCAAGTTTTGGCTGGTATCTGCCCTCCTGGTCCATTAAAGCCTTGAGCTGCACTGCAAAGGGCAGTGCTCCCGGGGCAGTGACTGTATCAATCATCTACAAATAGGCACAAGAAGAAAACAGTATATAAAGTATGTAAGTGAAGAACAAAAAATGAACCACTCAACAGGTAAGAAGCATACTGTGACTGTAACAAAAAACATTTTAAGTTTACCTAATGTTAATGTAACGTTAGTTCAAAATAAACATAGCATTTATTCACAAGTATTCTAGCACTTATGTGAGAATCAAATTCACCAGTAATGACAGAGACCTGGTTATTATTATAACGTTTGATCCCGAGCTCGATACTCGCATTTAGTCACCAGCAATGACAAGGCGTTAAATTTGACTACATATCGATAAGTAACTTTACACTATAATGCGAGTGCGTGAGAAGCAGAGGAGAGGGACACTTCCAAATAAGGCCTCGACCCAGCTGTCACCAGACTGGACTGAACTGGAAAGAGACACCCGTTCAAATCATCTCAACACTAAATCTTTTAATCACTAGTTATTCAAAGATTCCTACTCAGATAAATACGATAAAATGTTGCGTAATTACGATGAGATGAAGAATTAAATGTGTCTCTTCTTCAAGCTAAAGGCCTTGAAAGCGGCAGTGGGCTGAGCCTGCGTCATGTCAGGACATGTCCCTGCCATACAAACAAACGGAAAACTAGCACAAGATAGAAAGAAATAACACGTATCAAATCTGAACATTTACTGGAAACTGAGCATTAATTAGTAAAGGCAAAATAAAAAGCAAGAAAGACACTAAAATATGGGCCGGAATAGTTTTCAAACAGCTCCTGAATGTTAATCGATAGCTTACGTGCTAACGCAACTATAAAATCGGAGATATCGCGTTCGCTTTGTATTTTTTTTTTTTTTAAGTATTTAACCACACAACATTGACCATATGTAAAACAGCATTAACATAATAAGCCAATAATTGCCATTGGCCTTTATAAATAAGGACGTAGAAGGAAAATGTAGCTACTTACCTTGGCAAGTTGGGTTGTGTGGATTGCTAAAAACAAAACAAAAGCTTCACACGCTTAAACTAAGCGAATGAAAATGAGTGCAAGTATGAACTTTCACTTAAGAAAGTTTTAAGCAGAGTTTAATTTCTGCCTAAGCACACCCCCCTACCCTTGGCGTAAGGCGATGGGGAAAAGGACAGAGTGGTTTTAATGCGGCCATAAAACCATGCCCATGCCCAAACAGGGAGAGCTCTCATTGGTTACTCACTTCAAGGCTCTTAAATTCTGTGTTCTAATTGGATATCTAAGAAGCCACTCAAGTGTCCGCACCGCCTCTAAAAAGGCAAGCCGACCAATCAATTTTGAGGAGGCGTAACGTGATGCATTTTACATAAATCTAATATTTTTCATCTTCTATTAGTTACATTAATTTAAACATTATCGTATTTTTTCCAATTCAGATAATGGTCGGTTTCTGAGTGAATTTATGCCACAATGTTATGTTAACTCAACTGTCCCTGGTGTGTTCTCTGGAAACTTTTCAGAACTGTCTAGACTAGAGGAAGCCTAACTTGTTTAGAAAGAATAAATACAGAAAAACAAGATCTAATGACATACATTTTTATTTGTCTCTAATAGATTTTACAAATCTAGAAATGACACAATCCCATATAGATTTACTGATGTTATATAACAATGAATATGTCCTAACAGTACTTTAAAATTATTAAATAGGTATGTGTATTTATTAAACATTTTAAATAGATTTGAATTATAAGATAGCTGTTAATAACATCTAATGTTTAAAGTGCATACTACAAACAATAAAATACAATCCCTCTGAAGCAACTTGTCTTTGTGAGTTTCACAGTGTTAGTCAAAAACAATATACAGCACATTGTAAATTACATTTTGGCAAATAGGGATGATAAAAGACATGCACAAACCATGCTACAGAGCACTGCTCAGACATGTAACTGACTGGATTTTATGTTAGATGTCCCATTTATGTGGACAAGATGACATAAAAAAGTTCTTTTTAATTTGATTGCTACACCATTTTAATGTAGAAGCAGAAAGTCTTCTAATTGAGATTCCGTCCTGACGTTAAGGAGCACGCAGAAGGTAGACTAAAAAAGCTAAAGAAAAAGGGGAAAATGCACAATTTATTAATAAATGTTAATATTTGTTACCGTAACAGCTTGTGATGAACATGGCATGATGAATGTTATAGAATGAAGTTGGCAAAAAGGGTGAAGTCATTTTGAAAGAAACTGGTAAAAAATCATAATAAAAATAATCATCAGTGAATATCAAAAGAATTTAAATGTTAATACTTTGCCTTACAATTTGGTATAGTCAGTTATTGTTGTGGGTTATTGGTGTTTAGTTAGAAAACAGTTGATGAACACATTCATATAATAACATGAGCATGTTTCTAAGCATCCAAGGACTTGTTATTTTAGTGTCTAGTAAAGTCAGCAGTAAAGATTGGTATTAAATATGCAGAACAATGTTGTATTTGGATCCATAGACACGCAGTGGCTTATCACATTATTCAGGCTGGTGTGCATAGTCATTGAATCACACAGGCCACAAGTACAATGTGCTGAAGACCCAGTCCTGGTTTCCCTCAATGTTTCATCCCAAAATCAACTGAAAAGACATAAAACATTTTGGCAAAAACAAAAATTTTAAAAGTTTTTTTTTTTTTTTGTAAAAGTGAAAGAAATGGCATGCTATGAAGTCAATGTAAACAATCAAGTCATGTGCTGTAACTGCAGTAAAACAGCCTTAGTTATAACTCAGACCAATGACAGCTACTAGGAAGCATTATTTGCTAATATACAACAACACATTTCTTCAAATAATTATTACTAGTGTAATATCTGCTCACAGAGAATGGGGGTTTTCTTGTGTCAAAGAAGTTCAGAAAGTATATTACATTAAACAAATGTTTTATTATTATTATTTGGCAAAATTCACTCTAAAAAGATCATCTGTGTCCTCACTAGTGTCATTCTGAATCTGTCTTTGTGTTGGTTTTCAGCCAAAATGCTTTGCAGAAATAACAGTGTTTCTCAGTAACATGTCCACTCACGGCCAATGCTACAAATGATGATGATGAGATGCATGGTAGGCTATGTGTCTTTGTGTATGTTTAGATTCAGAGTTTATACAGATTACTATGAAAATAATAATTATTTGGACTTAGACAGTGAGACTTACTTCTTCTTGTCTTTGTCCTTTTTAAAGGGCTGGGAGCCGCCTTGAAGACCTTGGCCCATCAGAGTCTCTGCTGCAACTTTTCTCCTGTTGAAGGCGTTCATTTCCTCCTCCAGCTCCCGACGTTTCTCCTCCAAGTTTTTCTTTTCCTCTTGGTGCATTCGCTTCAGCTGCTCAAACCTGTCATGAAGCTGGATACCATAAAAAGACCCAATGTCAGACAAACCACAATTAGATTATTTGAACAATGACTTTACGTTCATACTATACCTCTTTTTCTTTTTCTTTCAGCTCGGCCTCTGTTTCTTTGACTTTGTTTACAAACATCTGCCTCATCTCCTCTTCTTTGCGCTGCAGCTCCAGGAGAAACTCTCTTCTCTTGGCTTCATAGGTCTCCTGAAGACTGGATGTAAATTGAATATTGTAATGTATAGCGCTTTTTCTATAGCGCTTTTCCACCTTCAAGGCACTCAAAGCGCTTTACAACAATGAACCACTCACCCATTCACACACACATTCACACACCAGTGTACACAGACACTGTGGGCAAGGTGGGTTAAGTGTCTTGCCCAAGGACACAACAACAGCATTCATCTGTGAGAGCTAGAATCACATCAGCCAACCTGTGGGTCAGTGGATCTGACTGCTCAACCTGTGATGTTTATGTCGAGAACTGGATTCGAGCCACCAACCTTCAGATCAGTGGGCGAATGCTCTACCAACTGAGCTACTGCTGCCCCTATAACATTCATCATCTGTATGCTCTGGATATTGCAAAAATAAACTTTGATCCCCTAATGATCTCTTGCTTGGCTAACATCTAATCTTGTGTAATCAAAATCTGACATTCATAAAATCATCATTTTTAAAATATCTATCCTCCTTCTTTTACAAATAAATATATAACACATATTTAACCTGAAAGACTTGCTGTTAGGATCTGCATCTTTGAAGCCCATCTCTTCAAGTTTACAGCGGCGGTACAGTTCATAGTGGCGGGCGTGTGTTTGCTCTCTGAGGTCCTCCATGTTCACTCTCAACAACATCTCCCTCAGCTTCACAATCACAGTGATTTTCATTCTCCACTGGAATAAAGTTTAGTAAATTACATGAAATTAGTGGTGGATGAAGCAATATTTTTTTTTACTTAAGTAAATGTTCAAATACAAGTAAAAGTATAACATGAAAAATCTAGTACCTGTTTAAAAATGTACTTTTAAGAGTAAAAAGTGAGTGTATTTTGCAGAGATTTCTAGAACAATGAAAGCAACAAATGTAGTGATTTTGATAAAGAATTTTGCTGATTCAATTATTTTTCTGGATGTTTTTGTGTATTTAGTTTGCTCAAAGTTGGGATGTTAACTCAAATTAAATGTGCTGAAAATGAGCTTCGGCCATTTTCATCAGGTCTCGACCACAAGAAAAGTTTAAACTTTTCAGTCCAGATCTAAAATGTAGTGGAGTAGAAAGGACAGATAACTGCTCTTAAATGTAGTGAAGTAAAGTAGAGATACCCAAAAATTTTACTTTTACTTTTGTACTTCATTACCTTCCACCATTGCATGAAATAATGAACCTAAATCTTGATGTTTTATTAAAACCAATTCAACAGACAAACCTTGTACAGAGCCCCAGGGGTACAGTCTTGCTTTTACCATCTTGTTCCCTACTTTAACATCTTCTGTACTTCCAATGACAGCAAAAGGAAGATATGTCTAAAGCATAAAAAAGCAGAGGTATATCAATATAAACATATTTTAACACAAAAAGGCAACCATAACCGTAGGAACTCACATTCATTGAGGCATTGATCTCTGCAACTGCCTCGTCCTCAGTAGGAAAGTTATAAATCTGCACACCATTACTGACCAGCTCACTCATAATCTTGATTTTTAATTTGTCCAATTCACTTCTTGAAACTGTGTCGGCTTTTGCAATAACTGGGATGATGTTCACCTGAAGAGACAAAGATAAAAACAATACTTAGAACATTGGTGACAAATATATTTTAACATTTGATTTTCACATGTTACCTTGCTGTCAAGTTTCTTCATTGTCACAAGATCCAGAGATTTCAGAGAGTGTCCCGTTGGTGCAATGAAATATAGGCAGATATGGATTCTTGTGTCATGGTAGTTGAACAAGGACCGTTTGATTTTTAACTCCTCCTCAAGAAACTTTTCAAACTGTGCATCAATGTATTCAGTAATTGGTTTGTAGCTGTAAAAATATATATTTGCAATCACAAATTGGTCACCAAAAAAATAAAAAAATCACAAAATGTTCTTGTGCTACCAGAAATCATCTGCTCATAATTTTTTTTACCAACTGGCCATAAATTTAAACTTTGTTTCCCCTTAAATTGTTTTCCCCATCTCTCCTCTATTTGTTCAGAATCATTGGAATCTAGAGTCTCCTCACCTCCCAGAAAGACTAACCTGTCTCATTCCTCTGATATAAGCAACTATTTTCTAATGTTATACATCCCCAAAGAGACACTCTACATATTCAGCTCCACCACTAGCTATTTCTCATGCAAGATTTCTATAGAAGTCTTACCTTTCTTCTTTGTTTATCTGGTCACCAAACCCCACAGTGTGCACAATAGTCAGCTTCAGATTGACATTGCTCTCCTGCAACTCAAATGTTTGGGAACGTAACTGCACTTCATTCTCATAATGGCTGGCTTCTTCAGCTTCAAATGCAGTATTGAACAATGTATTTATCAGAGTTGATTTCCCAATTCCAGTTTCACCTGGAGATGGTGAAAGGATTAAACAAAAATGCATATAGTAATCAATAATGCACCGATCAATAATTAGAAAAACCTCATAAACTATGAAAGGTGCTCTGTTCAGTCGTACCTACACAGAGGATGTTAAAACAGAAGCCTTGTGCGACTGCTTTGCTGACCAGCTGATCAGGTAGACTATCAAAACCCACATGGCCTCCAAGCTCCAAGTTTCGTTTTTCTTCATTCTGTTTAAAACAAACTTCAATTGTTATTGTATGGCACACAAAGGCTATTTTGTTTTTTTCCCCACTGGCTGCAGTTACACACTAATCTGATTTAGATTTTTTGAGTTGTAAGATTATTAAAATGACATGTAAACAGCAAAATCAATTTTTTGTTTGTTCGTGATCCCTCTCGTTATATATAGAGAAATCATATAATCAGATGTAGGTGTGCATGTGAACCCAGCCAGCAACTTAGGCAGTGGCAAGGTTAGGTACAACGTGGATATTGGCATAATAAACTTAAGTATGAATTTATAAATTTTCTAAACTGATCATATGAATACAAAATAGGCTTGTTCTATGTAGGTGCCTTGGCATCTTGAAAAAGCTCAACATGAGAAAAAGGATGTGTTCAATACAACAATCATCCGTTTCTGTCTGCCCCTTTTCACACAAACATACAAAGAGCTCTTTATCTCAATGTTAGTTCACAGAGCGGGAGGATGCCCAAGCCTGCTGCACTGGTACCCACACAACCCCCTTCAGATACCCAGACACCCTTACTTATCCAAATAGTCCTTACTCAACAATCTCTGAATTACTTTACACACAACCCTGTAATGATCTTTTATTCAAATCTTAACATTCTTAATAGGCTGAACAACTGACAATATGACACTTTTAGTCTTCTTGACCACTGTCCTCTACACATTTATCAACCCAAATAGTAATCCTACAAATTCCTTTGCTGTTCAAAATCTGCTGAGTTGCATCTGTGTATCTAACGAGAAAGCTGCTACTCGCGCTTATCCTCTTATCCTCTGACCGCCGTTTGCCCTGTTTATTTTACTTTATGGGCACTGAATGCCAAGCGCCAATAACGCACCTTGCGTACCTGCCAGTATTGATGAGGCGGCACGATCACGATCGTGACGAAGGCGCTGTAGACGTAAGAAAAAAAAATTGCCTCATGACCAATAAGCCATTATAGCTCCATAATCCCGTTCACTATGGCAAACGGTTTACATTAATGCTGCAGCGACGTCGCTGCATAACAACACATAAACGCACACCCATCCATGCCTGAATACCACGCAAATCTGGCCCAAAACTAGTGCAAGGTGCGAGACACATGCTCACTGGCCGTGACTCCTTAGACTTACAGTGAATAGGTCTGTTTCATTGGCCGCCATCGTCAAAGTGGCTGCGTTTCATGCGTCTTCTTCCAGACCTGCTCCACATCACACAGCAGGCTTAGCGCTACTGTTTTCAATATGGCCACTTGGAGGCAACACCCCCTCGGTGGAGTAGGGTGGCACTGCACTGCTTGCAAATATACTGATCCATCCACTGTATCCTAAGATAAAAAATATGTGAGAATATATTTCAGAAATTAGTTTTGGCCTAAACCTAAATTTGAAATTTCTGATGTCCATCTACAAGTACTACTACTACTACTACTACTACTACTACTACTACTACTACTACTACTACTACTAATAATAATAATAATAATAATAATAATAATAATAATAATAATAATAATAATAATAATAATAATAATGATACGTGTTATTATTTATTTTCTACAGGGTAACAGCAAGGATGCAGAACTCGGTATTACACCGGAAGCGACAGGTTGGTAGAGGACAGACGCTGGAGAGGAGGGATACAGATCGAGGCGATTATCTTTCGGCGTGCATCCTTGTTTTCTCTTCTTCATATAGGCACTAAAGCACCATGGCTTTGACCCAAGAGTCGATCTTATCTTTTTTACTCGAGCACGGAGGTAAAGTGAAGAACTCTGATTTCTTGAGCCATTTTAGGAGTCGAATCAACAGCAATGATCCCGCGGAAAAGCAGCACAATAGGGACCTATTCAAAAAGTTGGTTAACAGCGTCGCAGTGGTCAAAACAATGGACGAGACTAAGTTTGTGGTCGTGAAGAAACGGTACCTTGACTTTATTAAAGATGCGCCTCGTTGTGCGTCACCAAAAGTGTGGATAGACGATAGTATCACGAGTCAAAATACTACCAGCTTCTCTTACGTGTCTCCACTTCGTTCCCAGTCTGTCAAAGCCATGTATTCGGACATGGAGAATAATAATGCATGTGTCTTGAACTTGAATGGCAATTGTGTTAATGACAAAGCCCCAGAAGACATTGCGCCAAATGAATGCGTGTTACCGAATAATGTGGATGCAACTACGGTGCGAGTTCTAAATATTCCCGGACATCAAGCGACTAGGGTGAGGAAAACTGGATCCGTGTTTGCATTGGTCGCTGTAAGGTCCCCACCTAAGACTTTCAAGGATGAGCTGCACCCGAAAACAACAGAGGAGTCAATATTGGTAACCAAGGTTTCTCAAACAAAACTACTCCCCTCTGCATATCTTCCAACCAATAAAAGTGATGCAGCTTTGGGTGACATGGACAACAGACAGGCCGATGATGTAGTGCAACCCATAGCAGTCCCCCCAGTGAGGCCTCCTCAAAGCAAGAATTCAAAACAAGGAGAAGAGACAAAGTACTCAGAATCAGTGCCTCTAGACCCTTTAACTCATGAGTGGCTGGTCAAGTGCGCTGCTGGACTATGGGGGCAAGTTTATGCTTTGTTACTCCACGACATTCACTTGATACAAAGAAAAGACTTTATGTCAGGCTTCACAGTGCTGCACTGGGCTGCCAAGGACGGCAATTGTGACATGATGAGGAAAATAATGGGTATTGCCAAAAAAAGATGTGCTTTTATAAATGTGAATGTGAAAGCACATGGAGGTTACACACCTTTGCATATTGCAGCCATCCATGGACACACAAAAGTCCTGTTTCTGCTTGTGCAAGGATATGGGGCCAATGTAAACTTACGAGATAATGATGGAAAGAAGGCATCTCACTATCTTGGCAGTAATGTGCTGGCAGAGGTCAAGGTTCTTCTGGGTACACAGCTGCATAGCAAATATGGAGAGAAGAAAGAAAAAGAACTATACAAACAGTCTAGAAACATGAGCACTATTAGTAAATGCTTCCATCCGAACAAAGGAAAAAAACATAGAGTGACAAAAACGTATGCCCAGGACTGGTGAGAATTAGTGTAGTCATGTTAGTTTGTAACTTTTGATGTATAGTTAAATGTTTAGGGTGTTAACGTAGCTATTATGTGAACACGTAATTGCTTTTTTAATTTATTGGGTTTTTAAGTAATATAATTAATTGTTTAGTAATAGTAATTAAACTTGGACTTTCCATTTCTATTTGCATTTTTATTTGTTTTTATTTCTCCACACAAATACACTCACTAAATGACTATAATGACTGTATGTGAATAATGACTACCACCTTGTCATGCTACAAAATAATGATTAATAAATGCAACCAAAAACAGACTGTCTCTACTCTGTTGTACTGTTGTGTTTGTAACAGGGAAAGGACTCTACACCTATGGCATTAGCAGGGGTCTCACAGTTCCACCTTATTTCCTCCTGAGAGCAAATAGCCTGTCTGCAAGTCCAAGGTTAAAATCAATTAAGGTTTTGTTTGAATATGCTACATGGATGTTATTTAGCAGTTTTTTTTATTTTATTTTTATTTATTTATTTATTTTAACCTCAGTTAAAATGGTTTAAATCGTTACAGTGAAATGTAAGTACGAAATCTGACTGGATAAATTCCTGAAGATAGCTTACTTCCAGACAAATTGATCAAATGAATCTTGCGTAATCTTACAAATGTGTAGTGTCTTTGATTAACTGTGTTTCTATTTACATTTGAATCAGTCCCACAGACTCCTCTCACGTCCTTCAGGTTACCTGGACCATGTCACGTGATCGCTGTGATTGGCGACACCTGTGTCCGCTCAGCTGAAGCACGTGCTGGGATGTGTTGACCTCCGGCTCCAGCGCAGCGGCTGAAATCTGACTCTTTAGGATGGAAAAACCCCTTTGCATGACAGCGTCCCGTTTCTTTGGCGTGATTTTCTTTCTGCTGCTGATCACCTGCACTAGCGCCGTGGTGAGACCTTACGTAGCTGCCCCCAATGCTCTCTACTACAACCTGAGCGACTTGACTGAGCATCCGTACGGAAATATCTTTTCCCCTCTGATCAAAGCTCTTTCCCAGCACGGAGGCTCGAGGTGGAACCCAGATTTGAGAAAGAGGATCAAGCCCGAACACAAATACATCAAATATCTGACGGAGGTGTACAGAAGGTCCTCCAGAGTACAAAGAAGTGTGCAGGGAAATGGTGTTTACAACACAGTGCGGCTGATCAAGCCACAGGATGAGTGCCTTGCTCAAAAATATGAAGGTGAGGGAGATGCTTGACATGTTCTTCTTTAAATAGCGTATAGTAGAGTCTGTTACAATTATAGTTCTCAAATAAGATTGTTGTGTACCCTAGATATATTGTTGTGCCATTTAGAATTTGTAGTGTGAAATTATACACTTTAATATATTTCTGTGTTCTGCGTTCAAAGGCTTTATGCAGGATCTTTCTTACCGCCTTGATCAAGTGAGGAAAAAAGAACAACTCCTAAAATCCACCCTGCTGTACAGCTTTGGCCCTGGTCACTCTTCTCTTGTTGGCTCTGTATGCCATCTTCATATTAAAGAGCTGGAGCCCTCCACTCACTGTCATTTTTGTCAAACACGCAACACCCTTCACTCTGTGAACTTCACTGGAGACGGTGGTGTAAACTGGGTTGAGATCAACGTTACTGCTTTTCTTCTGCCCTTGCTGAAATTTCAGGTGAATAATTTACACCTGCTCATCAATGTTACCTGTGAAGAGGGGTCAAATGGCAACAGCCAGAACCACATGTTTGAGTCAGCACTCCGGTCCCCTCCCCTGCTTCTTTACCTGAGTGACACAACTAAACTAATTCACCAACGGTTAGGTACAAATAAAGCTGAGCAAAAGACATCTGCTGTGGAAAACAAACTCCATAAAGAAATCTTCAAAACCAGACAGAGGATATTGCATAGACAGAGATGGAAGAGGAGTTCCTCAAAAAACAAACGCGACAAGAGTCTCAAAACTCAGTTACCAGAGCTACTGCCAAGCTCTGAATTTCCAACCAGTGACTGTGCTCTATATGATTTCAGGGTGCGATTTAGCCAACTCAAACTTGACCACTGGATTGTTTTTCCACCAAAGTATAACCCCAGGTACTGCAGAGGCATCTGCCCAAGGACTGTTGGGTTTTTCTATGGGTCACCTGTTCACACCATGGTACAAAACATCATCTATGAGAAGCTGGACTCCTCTGTGCCCCGCCCCTCGTGTGTGCCATCTCACTACAGCCCTCTCAGTGTTATGATCTTTGAGGAGGATGGCTCTTATGTCTACAAAGAGTTTGAGGATATGGTGGCAACCCGCTGCACATGTCGCTGACTGACCTACTATAATGAGCCTTTTTTTGTTTTGTTTTGTTTTGTTTTTTACAACAATACATAAACAATTTCAAACCAGCACACGTTTTCTGACAAAGTTCAGTGATTTCATGATTGACAAATCATTCAGCATAAAAAGTTGGATCTGGAACAGATGTGCAAACTTATATGAAAGTATTTTATCTGACTGAAAAAAACATGAAAGTGGGACTTATTTCTTTTGTTTGAATTATGAGAGTGCACATTGCAATTGCATCTCTTTGTGCAGGAAATTCTGCAACATTTAAAAAAGAAGTGGAAATGTAAGGTATAATTTGGTTATTTTAAGTTATTTTTTGTTAACTTATTGTTGTTTTTTGTTGTTGTTGTTTTTTTTTTGGGGGGGGGGCATTATCCCCTAATTTAATACAAAACTCTATTTTTAAGTTGCCCTGTTCTGGAAAAATGAAAGTCACAAACTCATCCTAAACCTTTTATATACCATTTTGTTCCTGGAGGTTATATAGCTATATGGCTGTTTTCATAATGTCCTGGATGAAAGTTGTCAAGGTTTATTTATTCTAGTCACTACGTGACTGTGTACATATGAATTGACTAAACCCCATTTTGTAATCTTTGAATGTGACTAAATGCTGCTTTGTCTGTTTATGCAAAATTGATGAATTCACTTTGTCAGTACTCAGGAACCGTTTGAAGTCCAATGTAGACATATCTACACGTAGTAAAATAAAAAAGTAGCAAGCAAATTGTTCGTGTGTCTATTCTGCAAGGGCCTAATAGCACTACAGTGACTAATTCACAGCCATCAACGTGTAAACAAATAATCTGATTACACTGATTACTAACAAAATAATACACCGCAAAACGTGGAGATTGACTGCAGACGATTTTACAGTAGCTTCCCCTTCCACACCGGCAGATGGCAGCACTTTTCCCAGAGCCGAGAGAGAAAAGCAAGGACACGGAGCAGCTCTAGCAAACAGCAGCGGCACGGTAAGGCTCAATGTCACAGCTTTGAGTGTAACATTCGACTCTACTTTGTCTTCTTACTTCCAAATGACATGCATTTGTAATGTTGTATACATGATTCTCATGTCCGGCCACCGTTAAAATGCCAAACGTCTTAAATTAAGGGCAGGCTTCAAGGTCTCTGGTTGTTCGCCAGCAGCTAAAAATTAGCGTGTATAGCATTTCCTAAATCTTCATCTATTTTTACGTTTAGAATATGCCTCTTGGTTAAAACAAGATTTTTCAAATGTATGAATATTAACCAGTATTAAGGAACTAGTACACGTTACTGTTTACAATTATGGTTTTGACATGGTAAAAAGATGCATTTTTAGGCTCAACTTTGCATTGTTGCATCTTATTTCTTTTGCCTTGTTTTCAGAACCTTTTTTGGAAAATATGGGACGCCACTTTGGAGATTTGGCAAAGATCAGACATGTGATCACCTACACCATATCCCCCTTTGAGCAGAGGGCTTTCCCCAACTACTTTTACAAAGGAATCCCCAATGTCTGGAGAAGGGTCACTTCTTCCTTTTTTAAAGTTGCCCCCCGTAAGTTTGTAATCTTATTACACCCTTTGTTTTATTTTGGATAAAGATCAACAATATGAATTTGATATTTTGTTCTTTTTCAGCAATGATCTTGTGCTACACATGCTACACATGGGGCAACACTGTTCATCAACAAGGCAAGAGGAAGAATCCTGCCGACTATGAAAACGATGAATAAGTCAATCCAACTCAGTCGCCTGTTGAATCCAGTTCTATATGTGTCAGTAATAAAGATGATTATTTATATGTGTTGGACTAGTTGTTTTTCAGTGGACAGATGTTATGATTTACTTATGAAAATAAGCTACATTTATTAGTTATAAAATAATATATGTCTAAACATGGGTATCATTTATAACAATAACTCTACCTCTTAGTCATGTAAATAGTTTCTCAGTATGGTCTCAGTATCACCTACACAATAAAAGTCTGGAGTTGGGTTTCCATACGGAGTCTTGGATAGATTCAGTCACTCATTTTAAAAGGTTTTTGGGGTCAATGTAGTGTTGCTTATTGGTCCCATTTGGAAACGGTGTTTTAGTAGATTTTTGGTGAATTTTTACATGTATTTAATGTGTAACCCTGCTCCAATAATGTAAAGTGATTCCCTCCAATACTGTGGTGACTATTTGTTGACGGTCCCTAACGAATATCAAGCGAACGTCAAACGTTGAGCCAACTTCATCAAGCGTACGAATAATGGCATGTAAAGCTGGCATTGCACATCACTGTGGCCTTATATAATGTACAGTGGATTATTTGTTCACAATAATGCGTCAGTGACCACAATAGATGCCGGTACAGATTCCCGGCCTCTTGATGGCGCACGCAGTCGGAGCGCCATTGGCTGAGGGCGCAGAAGGTTCCTGAACCGGCCCCGGAGTGACGGCGCACCGCATGTTATCCATCCACCGCGGCTCAGCTTCATGGAACAACGGCTGTCATCCGCGGAGTAAAACAGACAGAAACCACCCGTATTGCCGCAGCATTTAGCGCTTAGATTTTTGTCCGGATCTTCCTTGTATTCATCGCACTGTTAAGTTAGTCAACATGTCAGTGGTGGGCTTTGACGTAGGGTTTATGAACTGCTATGTAGCGGTAGCAAGAGCCGGAGGAATTGAGACTGTTGCCAATGAATACAGCGACAGGTGTACACCGTAAGTAAAAAGTAAAACATATTGTGGTAATCCTAACTTAGATAAATGGTTTGTATCGTTGCAAGTAGCAACATTCAGACTTTGTGTTTACAGTTCGTTTAGTCCTGAAAGCTAAATGCTATCTTGCTAGTTAGCATGCTAATAGATGTGCATCAGGAAGCGGCATGTGATGCGAGTGCTAAAAGCTATGGTAAAGTGAATAAATTGTGAAAAAAAAATCTAATGAAATTGGTCGATTCTCATTTCTTAATATAAGAGGCTCTCTATTTAAATCTTAGTTTAAACATCTTGTTATATGTTAAACGTTGCCCACTACTAAAATTGGCTCATGGCATGGGGAGGCCGAGTTGCTATCTTCATTCATTTTGAAAGAACTATTTAGCCACATAAGATGATAAACTGTAAATGCCCAGCGTGTTTTAGGGTTACAGTAATATTACGTTAACTGTGATTGAATGTTTGGAGCCTTGTTGGGTCAAACAGCGTTTACCAAGCATTACAGTGTTATTATCGCGTTTTAAAAAGAAAAAAAAAATCCCACTTTGCTTTTAATGTTTGCCGACTTGTGTAAGGTAAATAATATTATACATTCACCATAAATGTAAATTAATTATACATGCTTTATTGTATGAAACTGTACAGCTGGCCATGAAATATCATACTTCTAAAAGATTATGATTTATACTTACTTTAATCTTCTTACAGAGCATGTGTGTCTTTTGGACCACGCAACCGGTCTATTGGTGCTGCTGCAAAAAGTCAGGTATGTATTTCTAAATACTCCTGAAACTTATTTTTCTATGTAACTAACATAAGCCATACATCTCAACAGTTATTCTTCTATTTTAACAGGTTGTCACAAACTGCAAAAACACTGTCCAGGGATTCAAGAGGTTTCATGGCAGGGCATTTTCAGATCCATTTGTGCAGCGCCTCAAATCCAGTCTTGTTTATGACATCACACAGATGCCCACAGGAACAACTGGAATCAAGGTAGAATAAAATTGAGTTTATGAAATGTATACAACCCAGATGATGATGATGACAATAATAATGTAATCATTGTTGCATTCTGAAGGTGACGTACATGGAGGAGGAGAAGATTTTCAGCATTGAACAAGTGACAGCCATGCTGTTGACCAAGCTGAAAGAGACAGCAGAAAGTGCTTTGAAAAAGCCAGTAGCTGACTGTGTTGTTTCTGTAAGTATGACTCAAAAAGACATCAGTGTTCTTAGAGCAGCTTCATAGACCAGATATTCTTAAGTCTACACACACTAGCATGCTGCACAATGACAAACAGAATGAGACAGAGTAATATTTGTATTTCTTATGTTTTAATTAGGTTCCCTGCTATTACACTGATGCTGAGAGGAGATCTGTAGTAGATGCAGCTCAGATTGCTGGACTCAACTGCCTGCGACTTATGAATGAGACAACAGCAGGTATTTACCAAATTATTTGTTCATTTTTTATTTATTAACTTTTTATCTGTAAAAAAATATAACTGTAATTTATCACAGTTGCATTGGCGTATGGCATCTATAAGCAAGATCTCCCTGCTCCTGAAGAGAAACCCAGGAATGTGGTGTTTGTAGATTTGGGTCATTCAGGATTCCAAACATCTATATGCTCTTTTAATAAGGGCAAACTGAAGGTTGGTACCTGCAGTAAATGTAAACAAAAGAATGCCCCTAGACTATATTAAATTTAATTTATCCATATTGTTTTGCTGTTGTAATTTTCAGGTTCTTGCTACAGCATGTGACCCAGAACTTGGAGGTAAAGATTTTGATGAGGTACTCGTCCAACACTTCTGTGAGGAATTTGGCAAAAAGTACAAGCTTGATGTCAAGTCCAAACCCAGAGCTCTGGTTAGGCTGTACCAGGAATGTGAAAAACTCAAGAAGTTGATGAGTGCTAACTCTTCAGATTTGCCCCTCAACATTGAATGCTTTATGAACGATATTGATGTAACTGGGAAAATGAACAGGTAAGCAGTGTTAGACTTAAAATATTCAGCTTTTGTATTATTTACTATCGCTCTAAACTGATTTTTCTTTTGCTAAAGAGGACATTTTGAAGAGATGTGTGCTGACATCCTTGCTAGAGTTGAGCCTCCACTGCACAGTTTGTTGGAACAAGCAAGTGAGTAATGTTTTAGCTATGTGACTATTTCATGTTAACCTTTTTGAATGGCGCTTACAAAGTTACAAATTGTTCTTTTTTTATCAAGAGCTAAAGAAGGACGACATCTATGCAGTAGAATTGGTGGGTGGAGCTTCAAGGATCCCAGCTGTTAAGGAAAGAATCAGCAAATTCTTTGGAAAGGAACTGAGCACCACACTAAATGCTGATGAAGCTGTGGCAAGAGGATGTGCCCTGCAGGTATCACATGCTATATTTTGTGTAAACCTGAACTTTGGCCTTCTTTTGTGCCATTTCAGGATTGTAATTGTATACAATTTACATAAAGTTACTAAATTTTCAAATATATTTCCTTTTTCTTGTAGTGTGCAATTTTGTCTCCAGCATTCAAAGTCCGTGAATTCTCAATCACAGATGTGGTTCCATACCCAATCTCTCTAAAGTGGCATTCGGCTGCAGAGGAGGGAGTGAGGTAAATAATAATTAACTAATTTGTTGCTATATTTTCAGATTTAATAATAATTATTTTTTTGCTACAGTGATTGCGAGGTGTTTCCCAAAAACCATGCAGCACCCTTCTCAAAGGTTTTGACCTTCTATCGGAGAGAGCCATTCTCTTTGGAGGCCTACTATAATTGCCATAATGAATTGCCCTATCCTGATCCCACTATTGGTAAGGCACATTGTGACTAAAATAATCTTTTCTATGCCTCCATATAGTATATAATTTTTTCATTTATTTGTCCAGGTCAATTTATGATCCAGAAAGTTGTCCCACAGGCATCTGGGGAGAGCTCTAAGGTTAAAGTTAAGGTGCGGGTGAACATTCATGGAATATTCAGTGTCTCCAGTGCCTCCCTGGTCGAAGTACAGAAGTCTGATGAGACTGAAGAGCCTATGGAAACAGACCAGACCCAAGACAAGGATGCGGAGGTAATGCATTAAAATGAAAATAATTGAAAAATAATTTGTTATTTTTGCTTGAATGCAAGTACTTTTGTCCACAGAATAAAATGCAAACTGACCAAGAAGAGCACCAAGGTCAAGGGGAAAGTCCTAAAGAGCCAGAAGACAAAACATCTCATCAGGAAGCTGAAGAAATGGAGGCAAGAATCTGATTGCTTATCTCTAATGGGAATCAGAGCGCTAATAATAAATGCCAGCATGTTTTTTTTTTTTCTAGACCACCACACAAGAGAACAAGGGTGAAAAGAAGTCTGACCATCCTCCACAAGCTAAAAAGCCTAAAGTAAAAACAAAAGTGTTGGAGCTTCCAATTGAAAACAGCCCACAGTGGCAGCTGGCGGTTGACATGCTGAATCTTTTTGTAGAAAACGAGGTAGATACTCATTCACTCACCATGCTTATAACTTATCCTCTTTGACTGTCATTAAACTATTGTATACAGTGGTTATAGTTGCTGTTTTGGCTTCTCCATAGGGTAAGATGATCATGCAGGACAAGCTGGAGAAAGAGAGGAACGATGCTAAGAATAATGTGGAAGAGTACGTTTATGACATGAGGGACAAACTGCATGGGATGTATGAGAAGTTTGTCAGCGAGTCTGTGAGTCGACGTATTGACTAACAAAAAGCATAAAACACATTTAACAAATGTGTTGACAATAATGCCTTCATACCACATCGCTTTGTGTTTAGGACCGTGATGCATTGTCTCTAAAGCTGGAGGACACTGAGAATTGGTTGTATGAAGAAGGCGAGGACCAACCCAAACAAGTGTACATTGACAAACTGGCTGAGTTAAAGGTAACCAAACTGGGCAATAAAAACTAAACAATAACTTTTGGTTTTACTAACTTTTTTGTTTTTCAGAAACTTGGTCTACCTATCCAAGAAAGGTATTTAGAGGCTGAAGAGAGACCTAAAGCATTTGAAGAGTTGGGGAAACAAATTCAGCTGTATATGAAATTTGTTGAGGCATACAAGATGAAGGTGCAAACAAAAGCAATGTATTATTTATCAAACTTTTGTTTGCCTTTCTAATAGAAATGTTTGTTTTTAAGGAGGAGCAATATGACCATTTGGAAGAGGCCGATGTCACTAAAGTAGATAAATTGACCAATGATGCAATGATCTGGATGAACAGCGCCATGAACCAACAAAGCAAACAAAGTCTGACAGCTGATCCTACAGTTAAAGTCAAAGACATTTCAGCAAAAACAAGGGTATGTTTTTATTTTGTATTTATTTTAGATAAAAACTGAAGTTGTTTCATACACTTATACCTAAACAGATATGAGTTCAAAGTTGGAGACAAACTAAATATTGAGTGCCTCAGTTCAAGCAAGTTCAAGCATTCAAAAATATCTTTTTATGTTGGTTTCAGGAGCTCTTCTCAGCTTGTAATCCTATTGTGACCAAACCCAAGCCCAAAGTAGAGTTGCCTAAGGAGGAGCCACCTGCTGAACAGAATGGGCCTGTCAATGGGCAGGAGAAATCCCAAGAGAGTGCCAACAAAGGAGCAGCTGATGCAGCTGGCAGCAACACATCAGAAGCTACAGAAAACAAACCTGAAATGGACCTTGACTAAAAAACGATCAGATGTACAATAAGTGCTGGTTGTATGGCCACAGTATAATGGAGAGAAAGTACAGGGTTTTTGGATGTTCACTCCACAGTCAAATTGCAGGCAGGATAATGAATACGCAGTTCCCACTGGTGTCTCTGACATAGCATGTCCCCCTCTCTGGATTACAAAAAATAAAAAAAAAACAGCTGCAATAAGCCTGTTTGACAAAGAGCGCTGTACACAATGGTATTTATTTCTGTTCCTGTAGTCTGTGTGTTCTGGTCTGTGTCACAATATGGTTTTAATAATAGTACTGAACAGCCACTAATTACCATATGCATATTATAGAATGGTATGTTCTAGAGTTACTTGCTGCTGAGGAAAAAATGTACAGCCATTGGCGGAAGTGTAATTTTAATTTGAGCTGTAAAACCATTCAAAATGTTCTTAATTTTTTTTTGTTTAACAAGCAACACTATTAAATGTTAAGCATAGGTCCACGTGTATGGTGTATGTATCCTTATGTGTAATAACCCCACAATACGCCTTATAGGCTACTTTGGACAGAAAAATTTATGAAATTACATCATGGCCATTTTTCACAACCCCCCATTTCACGTGCTAACTAATAACTTGAAAATTTAGAAAAAGCTAAGATAGTTTACTTGTTACTGTAAAAAGTAACATAGGCTAAATTGAATAATCTTGGCTCTCTGAAATGCTTGAATAGTTATTTTAATAGATTCATGAATCGAACTGAATTAATGCTAATTTTCTTACGCACAATCTCACGTCATCTCATTGGCGACAAAATCACGTGATTTTGTTCACGTAGTTCCTTCCGAATAAAACCTAAGCCGAAGATTTACCGCACTCTGAACTTTATATCTAAACTATTGCTCCAAGTTACCTTACGTTTTGCTTTACCACTTGCAAGAGTCGATACTTGTAAAAGGACGTAATTTTATGTGCTTGAATTAATGAGTCTAAAGTCCCGTTTAGGTGTGTTTTTGAGCAGAGTAACTCAGGGGATTTGCTGACAGATTTTCGCTTCCTAGATACTTTTCAGTAGTACAAACCAACATGAAGCTGATAATCCTCAATGACTATGATCAGGCAAGCGAGTGGGCTGCAAAATACATTAGAAGCAAACTCTTAAAGTTCAAACCTGGCCCAGACAAATATTTTACTCTTGGGCTTCCAACTGGTAAGTGACGTGATTTAATTTGCTGTACTGTCGTCTGTCAACATTATTAGCTAAGAATCTATCTTCCTTTACTTGGCTAGTAGTAATAAATAATTTGCTTTTTACAAGGCCCATTGATGAAAGTTGGTGGATCTAGACTAGAACTTCAATTAATGCAAATAATTGATGTTTTTGTTCTTTTGTACTACAAGGAAGCACTCCCTTGGGCTGTTATAAAAAGCTGATTGAGTACTACAAGAAAGGAGAGATCTCATTCCAGTATGTTAAGACCTTTAATATGGACGAATATGTTGGTAAGACATCATCTCTGCAAGAATGATTATTAACTTATTAACTTATCAAACCTGTTTAGTAACTTATCAAACATATTTAGGACTTCCCAGAGAACACCCAGAGAGCTACCATTCCTTTATGTGGAATAACTTTTTCAAGCACATAGACATAAGAGCTGAAAACACCCATATTCTTGACGGCAATGCTGCTGACCTACAAGCCGAGTGTGATGCATTTGAAGACAAGATCAAAGCAGCTGGAGGGATTGAGCTCTTTGTTGGAGGTCAGATGTTCATTGTGCAATAATGCATTAGAATTTCTATTAATAAACAAAGAAACAAAAGAAATATTTAATTTAAAATTATCACCTTTTTTAGGAATTGGACCTGATGGCCACATTGCTTTTAATGAACCTGGTTCTAGCCTGGTTTCTCGTACAAGGGTCAAGACTCTGGCCCAAGATACAATAATAGCAAATGCTCGGTTCTTTGATGGTGATCTGTCTAAAGTGCCTACCATGGCTCTGACTGTGGGAGTGGGCACAGTCATGGATGCAAAAGAGGTGAGGGCACAATTAACATAATCTGTGCAAAGCCTATAGCTGCATATTAATTTAGAAAATCCCTAACAACTTTCCAAATTTTGGTATGAACAGTTACCATGTATTTTAGGGCTAATTGTGTCCAAATTCCATACCAAAAAAAGGGAAAAAAAGAAAACATACAACTGTATATTGTAAATTGCATTTTAATAGCCTATATTCAAATATTTAGATAAATCTTTACTCAATAATCTATTGTCTCTTGTGTGACAGGTGATGATCCTCATCACTGGAGCACACAAAGCATTTGCTTTGTACAAAGCCATAGAGGAAGGTGTCAATCATATGTGGACAGTGTCTGCTTTTCAGCAACATCCACAGACACTTTTTGTATGCGATGAAGATGCCACCCTAGAACTGCGGGTCAAAACTGTGAAATACTTTAAAGGTGATACATTAACTCATGCAGTCACAAATCCTGGTCAGTGGAACCTTTGTTGGTTAACTTATTTATTTATTTATTTTATTTTATTTTGCAGGGATGATGCATGTGCACAACAAGCTGGTGGAGACATCTCCAGCCCTGTGAGATCAACTTGTCACAAAACTGTATTGAACAGTTAAATGATAGTGATGTCTTGAAATTTACTCCTTTTGGGGATGTCCTTGAAACACTCTGACAGCTAACATTCTTGTTTACGTATTTTTGTAATATTTTCATTGCCTTTTGATTAAAACTAACATTTTCTGGATGTGGTGATTGTTTTTATTTATTATTAAATTCAGTTTTTATTGTCTCGTTACATTTTTTGGTTTGGTTAAACTATATAAAGATTGGGACAGGCTCATGGACCATGAACAGGTCCTGGAAATTCAAATGAGAAATTTTACAGCAGCGGAGCCCAAGTTTCCAACGCGCCTGAAGCCCTCGCTGTCCAGGGAGAGATGGCCGAGTAGCGCTGTCTGTGGACATCACTTTTGCTTGTGTTGCTCGATCCGTATCGTGGCTTGTAGCTCAGTCTATCGCAGTTTTACCTCCACCGTGGAAAGAGGGCAATTAAATATTCCTCTTCCACGATGGCAGAACAAAACAGCCATGTGCGTTATCACGAGGTAAGCTTTGTTATTATGATGCAACGCTCAAATACAGCTAACATGTTGGTAGCTAGGTTTAGCATTAGCCGCCGTGCTATATCAACCATAATACACCTACAATTAAAAACACCAAAAGGACCAAAACCAGATATTTGGTGCTCAATACATGAGTGCATTTTGGTAAACAAAACGTTTTGGTGAAATCGCATTTTTATTCATGTTATAAACTAGTGGTACGTTTTTTGTACTTGCAATGCTGTTGGTTCTGGCCTCTAGATCGTCATCGATGTGGTTACAGTCATCATCATCAATATTATTATGGGTAATCTTTACCAGTTCTAGTGCTTTTATCAGTAACGTCAGACAAAGTCCAGATTATACAATGAAGAGCACAGATTGCTAATTTACAAGTCGTTAAAGGCGTTCACCCCCCCACTGTCTAGCTGTATAATCATTATCTAATGTACTAGGAGGCCTACTTCCATTGAATGCAAACGGTCCTCAGTACATACATAGCCTACATAAACACTGCAGAAATATGTGACACTGATATGTTTGCACATTTTTGTTGTGTATTGTATGTTAAGCTGGTAAATGAAGAGGAGCTGTCCCAGCCTTCCCAGCAGGTTTCCACTCAGGACTCACCCCCACCCTACAGTAGTGTGACTGCAGCTAATGCAGGTCAGTCACTTAATGGAACATAAACTACTCTTGCAATTACTATTTGACTAGCGTAATTACTGCCCAGTGGACACAAATTACTCTAGTAAAAGTAGCAAAAATACTTAATAGAGTGTACTATGATGTACACAGTATAGTAGAGTGTTGCATCTGTAAAGCACTTTGAATTACTTTGTGTACGAATTGTGCTATACAAATAAACTTGCCTTGCCTTGCATTTTCAATGTTGCAAATACATTTAAAAGGGCAAAGGTCAGTGTATAAGAATAGCAAATGCCTTGAGCTGTGTGTGTTGTGACACGGTCAATCAGTGCATTAGTACGTCTTCACAATGACCCAGATTTACAGCATGTGTAACAGTGACAGGGCATTTTCCCCAAGACAACCATTTATTAGTGCAGTAGGGTTGCAACTAACAACTAAAAATGTCATTGTGCTAAAACCCGTTTTGATTGCACATGGCATATGCTATAGTGTCTTTCTCCAGATTGTATAAAATACTAAATTACTTTATTAGCTGAGAGCTAAGAGGGATCTATATTACTGTATATCTATATGCTCATATATGTTTCATGTATTATTTTTTTGCAAAATGAATAATACTTGCATCTGTTTTGATATGTATATTAGAGAGCGTTTGTGGCGGTACCCCACCAAGAATTTAGTCTGGACTCTTGTATATTATATCGATTTGTTTTTGTTTTATTTTTTAGCTTTTTTTGAGTACAAGGAAGATGTTGGAAGTTTTCCTAAGCCTCCTTCCTACAGTGTTGCCACTTCTTTGCCCTCCTATGATGAAGCTGAGAGAAGCAAAACTGAAGCTACTGTCCCTCTGGTCACAGGAAGAGTCACAGTATGTACTTTTTAAAAGGTTTCATACATTAGGTCATGTGATCATCATCTATAATTCACATCATCTATGTGTGAATTATCTTGTTTTGTTTTCCCCAGGAAGAAGACTTGGTTGCCCGAGATGACTTTGAAGATGCGGATCAACTTCGAATAGGAAATGACGGAATATTTATGCTCACTTTCTTCAGTAAGAGAGAGGCTTATTGCTTTTTTACTGTATATAATTTAGTGAAGACCTTTGTAAACAAATAACTCTCACTTTGTTTCTACAGTGGCATTCCTCTTCAATTGGATTGGTTTCTTCTTGTCTTTCTGTTTGACCACATCAGCTGCTGGCCGATATGGAGCCATCTCGGGCTTTGGTTTGTCTCTCATCAAATGGGTTCTTATTGTTAGGGTAAGAGCTGTCATTAATTATTTAAGGTTATATAAATAAAACATAAATGGAATATAGTACAAGTATTTATTGTCACTGCTTATGATCTTTTAGTTTTCCACCTACTTCCCTGGTTACTTTGATGGACAGTACTGGTTGTGGTGGGTCTTTCTGGCCCTGGGTGAGAATTGGCATGCTTAATGAATTCTTTATAATCAATTATGCTTAAATATTTTTTACATATATATTTTTTTGTCTCCTAAGGCTTCATGCTGTTCATCAGGGGTTTTATCAACTACTCAAGAGTGCGTAAACTGGCTGATCCCACATATGCCTCTCTTCCCCGAACAAGAGTCCTCTTCATTTATTAGAGGTAATATTAACACACATTCTATAAATATAAGTGTTAATCATACTTTCTGAAGTCCATTAAAACACTGTTTGTCTATTTCAGCTTTGAAGGGTGGATGGACTGAATATGACCAAGAAGAGCAACAAAGTAAAATGAAGACAGGCAAGTTGTAGGTGAATATATCTCAACACAATATTCAGGAATTAAATGTATTTTATTTGTTTACTTTATTAATGGAAAGTAGTGATTTGTAATAGTTTGTATGTGTAATCATTAGTGGCGAATGTTAAGTGCTAATTACGTCTTTGTAATGTCAAAGTAATGCCTTAAATCATTTGATGGTAGCACACAAGCATGCATCTGTCCTTAAGAACTATTTTGGCAACTTTTGCCTGAAAGCCAACAGGTTTATGCATGGAGAATACTCTGATGTCGACCAATTTTGCTACCATACGGTTTATTGTAAAATAAACGCCATATCCTCTGCAGCTACAAACTCTGTAAATGAAAACTCACCTGTTGGCTTTAGTAGTGTTGTCCGTTTTGCAGCCAGTAGAGGGCAGTGTTGTCTGCTGCATTTAGTCATAAAAAGGACGTTCAGAAGCCCCATAAGGAAACATACATGCTTGCAATTAAACCTTTTATCAAATGCAGTGCATCAGGGAATTTGTATTAGATGTTTGGGTAAAACTATCCAATCAGAAATAATTTGACAGAAAGGTCATAAAGAGTTTTTAAATGTTCAAGAACAAGCAAGAAAAAACAGATGTGAATAAAATCCCCAAAAGCCCTGAGCGTTTTGGTTGACCAAATTTTTTTTAATAGTAATTTATCATGGCCCAGCCCAGTTCTCTAGTTCCCATTAATACAGAAATAAGACCCTGATCAAGTTTGTTGTAGTGGAAAAGCATATTAAATTGAGCACAAAGCATGCTTCAGGTGTATATTTTTACAGAATTTTTAAAAGCAAAGGACATTTGTTTTAAGGCTACAGTGTAAGATTATGATATATAGAGAGTATATTAAAGAATGTTAATGCAAATGCACTTTTAGAAACAAACTTTTGAAAAAGAGGGTTTAGTAGTAGTCATGAGGTTCATAACAGGCATGTCAAATTGTAGTAATCATATATGTGAAAATGTGGATTTGGATATGTATGCTTTAATCTTACTGCATTTTCATGGTAAACCAATTACTTTGAAAAAAAATCTTATTTCTATGATGATGAGCTGCATCCATAGGGTTTTGCTGTTATGAAACTGTACAGAAACAAGTGTTAAAAAATAAATGTCACATTTCAACTATTTTTCTGAAACCATTTCTGTTATTTAGATAAATTAACTTATATTACAACTCTTAAGTTTGTTTTCATAGGTGTAATAACCTTTGTACCAATTTGAAGGAATTGTGTTTCCACATCTATGCATCTGACCAATCTTATAATCTTATCTAGGAATATCTTGGGTTGGTTCTCTTGTACCTCAAAATCTGAGGGGACATGTCCAGTCAGGAAGCCCTTTACCCTAATAACCCTTTGCCACAAATCTCAAAGATACCTCTGAGTTCTACTGTCAATAGCTATTTGTTTTTAATAACTAAGCTCAAATTTGGATATCTGGTCTCTGTCAGGGCTCTGCCATAGAGACCTGAATATGAACCTTGAGCCAAATGCTTTGGACATGTCCCAAGAGAAATGGCATATGGCCCTACTTCTATAGTGAGGTAAGTTCATAACAAGTGGTATTAACAAGAGTTCTACTTTTTGTTAGTGGGTTAGTAGTACAGACACAATCTTCAGTTATAGATCTTCACATTGCTTTGGTGGTAATGTGTTATACTTTACATTCATTTTTGATTGTTGAGGGTTAGATCAGGTCAGATCAGGTCTCTGAATCGTGCACTTGTCTGGGGAGAAAGAAGATGGCTTTCTGTCCTATGTGGGTTCTTGGGCCCAATTTAGGTTTTCCGTTCTTTTTCAAACCCACATACCAATTCATCTCTTTAAATTTTTTGGACTGATATGTGTTGTAATGGTTTTCTTCTAGCTTCTCCAGGAAATGACATTCCTCACTTACTGTTGGCTGAAAAAGAGACAACAACTTTTTAACATGATGGCTTGTTCTTTATGATGGATATGTTACATTAGGTGTCACATTCAAACGCAACTTACACAGCTGTACAAACGACCCTCGCTGTTCATGGCAAGGTACATTCCAGCTTCCTTCCCAAATATGACCACAACACCAATGTCCACAGCTTTAAGCTTCAAAAAGGCTTAGGGGGAAAGAGTTTTGTTATTAGTTTTACTTGAATATCATTGCCTACAACGCTTATAATTTTTGAAGTACGAGTCTTTGTAGTGCATCCAGGGTTACGCTTACTGTGTACGTCCCCATCGTCCCTCTGGCCCTGCACTGTCCCATCGGGGAGGAGCTGGAGGTGATGTCCGCCATTCATGCAGTACAGCCGGGTGAGACTCCTGTAGTCTGGCAAAAAGGCACTTAAGTCCGCCCTCTGCTCAGTCTTGTGCTCCGCTGCGTCTCCGTCCATCATCCTCACCGGGGAACACAGATAGAGCTGGGGTTCTGCCCGATCAGAGGTCAGATTTACAGGGGAAAGTAGTGATATCGGCGGCTCAATCCTATGCGGTGATCAGGTACAATCTCGGGGGCGCGCATTAAGACCACATGGGCAGAGGCTGCGCGCTCTCGACTGTCGATACGCCTCTCCATCACGCTCTCCATTCTCAAGTAGGATGAGAACAGGATAGTTGTAAACGTTGGCCAATTTCGGCACTGTGGTGGAACATGATAAAGACGGCTACTTGTATGAATGCTGAAAGACAGTACCCCCAAAAAGAAATGTCAATGTTATCCTGTTTTCTAGGTAAATAGCTCAAAGGTTATACCATTCATGTGGCACAATGGGGGGCATAATCTAAAGTGGGACCAGGGACAGCGGCATAAATCGCAGGACCAGCTCTGAAACCTACAAGGCCACAAAGGGTTTTACATTTAAAAGGTCATTAATGTGCTAGTGCGCTTGATAGCTTATGGCTCCTTGATTATGTTCTTAATGTGCAAGAATCTTTTCCCAAAAATATCTGTTTACCACTCAGCAAAGATGGGTTTACGTATTAATTTAAATACACTAAAATCAAATTTTGTCTCTTGATAAATTAGATCTGAGAGCTGCTGTCCCATCAGCTACAACATGCTAATGCCAATAGGTTTATGGCAAAACATACTTAACAAGCAGGAATAAAAAACAGGCCAAAAGCAACAGTTCGACCTTTAATCAGTGGAGGAAAAGAGGAACAGGGCTCACACTATGGGAGAAATAGTACACAGGGTATAGAAAAACTATTATCAGGAGACAAGTACACCACATATTCTTTACAATGGATTATATGTACATATTCAAATCTTTAAGCTAAACAAAGCTTTAGAGAAAGCATAAACCAGTGAAACATGATCGGCCCTTGATAATTTTCCAAAAGGTAATGTCTGCATATGTTTTATACAAAATAGATTTTCAAACAATATTTGGGTAGTGCAATTTTTTAGATTCAAGCTGGTTGATTACTTTCACAAACAGTTTTTAGAGTGAAAAAGACTGACTTCTACCCTATTCACAGTATTACAGAAATTGACCAAAGCTGTCACTTTAGAATATAAAAGTAATAACACAAATGATCTGTACAGTTGTATACGAGTGTAGAATAGCTTACACGGACAGTGGGTTAGTTGTCTTTGCTTTGGTCACCTGTTGAACTTAAAACAAATGGGTTTTTGTGCAGTCTGGGTTCTGAGTCTGTTTTCCTGAAAATCTGACCTGCAGAGATAAGGGTTTATGGTGAATCTCAAATAGCTTATATATTGTGAAACTGAAACAGGAAGCAGCCATAGTTTGTTATGTTAAGGTGATACACTGTTATTTCTATTGCATATATAGTAGTCCTCAATGCCATACAGACTGAGGGTAATATTTGTATGAAAGGAGGCAAGTGTGTGAGTTCAAATATTTACCTGTAAACAGAAAAGCAGCAGCAGAGATTTTGGATACACTGAATGTGAAAGTAACCCACGTGTGACGCGTAGGCAGTCGACAGAGATTATGGATTTGTACCAGAAATAAAGACAAGTGCCTCAAACTATGTTGGGCAGGGTATAAGAAAAGAATCAGATCTATTAACAGTCCATTAAAGACAATAAAAAGACAAACCAGAGACAGACACTGAGGAATCCGAACTCGATGTCTTGGTTCATACAGAACAAGTGACGGACATACAGACAGTTGTTGTATATGAAACATGTTTAAAACCTTTAGCATGAATGAAATTAAAATTACATGGTTACTGTGTGTTAAACATTTCCCAAAGCTACATTTCAGCTCTACAATAATTTTGACAATTAGAAGCACCAGTTTATACTTTGTAGCCACTCACTATGACAGATTTTTGTGTAATTTGAACAAGTGCCATATTTGATCTGCAGAAGTTCATTAATTCACAGTTCATTTGTCTTTTTGTGCTTAAACACAAACATGTCATTTCTTTTCGAAGGCCAATAATTTAAGTGCTGGTGTTATCGGGGTGAAAATATTGCAACACATTTTAAATCCTCACTGACAAAACAACAGCTAGACAGTTCCTTTGTGATCACACAACACCACATCCGAGTACTCCCATAGCTGATTTCAGAGATTTAAGGATTGGATAAACTGGGCCATTGTTACCACTTCACAATCAGGTTCTACTCACAAATACTGACTAACTTCCAGCATCACTGAGAAGATGAAACAAGGATTTGGCACTGGATGACGTTCACTATTGGTGGGGTTGAATGCTGAGTGCTTAACATTGGGACACATGTGCAAATATACTCGACACAGAGGACATGTGGCAGACCGGTCAAGGTGGCTACAGCTTGCTGTATGTGGTAAAAAGGGATCACGCTATGGCCAACTGGGCAAGACTTCTCTGCAATTAATCTATGGTGTGTTTAATGCACGCTTCAATATCAAATGTACCAAAACAAAAATGCATAGGTCCCATAATAAGCCATTTACAACATGCCTTTTCTGTCACAGAATGGCAGAATGACAACTTTAGGTTTACAACATAAACAAAGCAGGGACAGTGCTTTGCATGGTAGGAGAAATGTAAAAAAAAAAAAAAAAAACCTAAATAACAATAATGCTAACATTATTTATGCAAACAACGTGAAATTCCTCCTGGTTTTCTGATTGGTTGACGCAGGTATCTTGTCACATTCCACTCAAACTATCAGGGCAGCAGAGGAGCTAAAATATAGTGGGCTATTTCTTAATAAAAAGTTAAGAAAAATTTAAAGACTAATACAAGGAAGCAGTCTTTTAAAGCCTTTCGGAGGATACAAAGTGCTCACATCGCACTCAAAAATTTAGCGTGCGGGAGATTGCATTTGAGGAAAACCAGCTTTCAGTATTCACACTCAAAAATGCAGATCATCTCTCCAGAGGAGGACTGAGCTGCCACTTCTAAAGACAAACACAGCTACTGAAAAAGAAACATTGCGACTGCATGTTAATATGAAGTACAATCACTATATGCTGAGGGCAGAAGTGGAGAAGCATGCCTTGGACAAGCAGGAAGAAATGGACAGGATGATATTTGAAGAAAAAAGGCACATCATTTTCCCTTTTTTTACAATGTGTAAACTTGGAAGAGTTTTGCTTATGGGAGAAATCATCCTTGAAATCAGCACATGTGGGTCGCATGTATCAAAAATGTTCATGATTTTTAATTGACTGAAAAAAAAAAAAAAAAAAGACATTTTGTTTACGACTAAAAACAACATTTCAACGTCTAAAAACTAATGAGAAACTTACAGTCCAAAAGCCTAATTAAGAGAGCATGTTTTTAATTAAGCTCCGCTACCGTTTGTGGTAACAATGACCTGAAATAAATGTAAATATTTATATTATATGAAAATGTAGAAAACACCACCAGAACTTCTCTATAGATAGTAGTTATCTATTTAAGATCTGTTTGAAGGTAAGAAACCTGAGACAACATGGATGTTAGCCTATTTCTCTGATTATACAAAATGGTTCCTATGTGGTGCGCACCATATGCTAGACCAAAGCCAAAAGCTGTGTGCTCTCTTGTGGCTCTCCACAAACTTTTGTACCTCTTCTGCTCCCCTCCAGACCGATGCGTTAATGCCAGGGGAAACCAAACTGACTGGTGGGGGGTCTTTAGTGCTCGTGTTGTCCTAGGGTGGGGTGGGTGGTGAGGGATGTTTAAGGCATTGTGTTTGGGCAGGACTCAGTCATCTCTGGTGGAACAGGAGCGCTTTCACACTCCCAGCTTTGAATTTTGGTAACTGGTTGCTGATGATCTCAGCCAACATCTCTGGGAACTCCACACTCAAGGACTTGTTCACAAATGTGTAGAAGCAGAAATTGAGGAGTCCACCAACCATCTGAAGAAACACATGTTTTCATTAATGTTCAAATGGCAATCATACAACACATTTTTAACTTAAAGAGCACATACATTATCTGTATTGTTTTGAGCCTTTAAACATAGTTTTGAGTATTTGATTGGATTTTGCACTAGCATGCCATCTACTGGCAACAGTGGGAATGAACCATGGGAAAAACTAGCTATTTAAGCAATGTAACTGGCATGGTAATACTGTAATATGCACTAAGTGGTAATGAGAGTGACTTACATGACTTAAGTGACTTAAAATGACTGACCTCCAGATTTCTACACAGATTTCTCAACACAGTTTACTGTATTTAAATGATGTAAAGAACAGTTTTTTTCAGATGCTGCATTAAGTACCTGGAATATTATTTTATACCTCATGCATGGAATCCAGAAGCTTGGTGAGCTGATAGAAGCGTTGCCAGTTCTGACTGGAGTTTTCCTCTCTTTTTACTATTGCTTTCCCCAGCTCCTTAATGTAGGACATCCGAAGCTCATCAAACACAGCCTGGCTCTTTAGGCCGTCCTTTGGCACTGCAAAAACAGATGCAATCAGACTTTAATCTGAGCCATTTTTAGATAGAGTTTGAGTGACGCTTTATGTGCAACTGACAAATAGGATATCTGGACTGATACAGAAAAATCAGACAGAAAAATAACCTAGAGATGTGTTTACCAGCTTTGCAAATACAGACTATGCTCACTATGAAAAAAGTTAAACTCCTTTTCAATGCAAAGAATAACATTTAAAAACAGATACCAATGCCACTTTTTATATAATGGAATGCAATTTTCAACACAAAATGTGGTTTTGCACTAGGCCTGATGTAGTGGCTATTTCAAAACTATTCAGGAAAAAATGTCCAACTCTGTCCTATTTATGTGCCTTTTTTTTCTTGTTTTTGTTCAGAAAAGATACCAGTTTCAACATGTAATAAAGATACTAAAACACATTTGAAATCGTGAACATGTTTCTCCAGAGGTCTTTACCTGTGCTGAGCAGCAGCAGGACCTTCATGCACAAGTACTCATCATGAGAGACCTGCAGACGAACAAACTCGCTGGAAATCTTCAGCATCTGTTCAAACTGGTCAGTCATGAATGGCAGCTTCATTCTGTCCCTGAAACCAAAGTGAGAGTACATGAAACAGAAGTATTTCCAAGTAGGGCTATCACAATAACGGTAAAAATGAATCACCGCGGTACTAAGAGGCCCAACATCCACCGCGATCATTGCACGTGATCAACGTGACCCGATCCAGAGTCCTGCATGGGTCCATTTTTAAAGACCTGCTCCCACCCGGACCTGTTAACATTCCACCCATTACCACCCATGCCCCTGATAACCCAGGACTAACCCAGGACTAACCCAGGACTAACCCAGGACTAACCCAGGACTAAGGTGCGCCCACGTAGACCGTCTGGTGACCGCAGGCGAAAGGACCGGCGCAGAGCTCCGCAGCGCACGAAGTTAGGGTGGATCGGCCTTCGCCCAATCGCGCTTTGCGGACACCTACTCCGCATGCTCATGCTAGAGGCTCTCTCTCTCTCAAGTCCGTAGGTACATGAGCTGGTGCAGGACTCTCACCCGAGCTGCCACAGTGAGAGCTGGAGAGATGCAGCGGCACTTGTTCCAATGCCAAATGTTACTACTGCCACGCTACACACGCTATATCTGCACGACAACCAAGATACATGTGCATCTGCGCAACAAGCGCATCATCGAAGAGAGTTTTCAGTGCCGCTGGAAATATTATAACTCTAGGGGACGGAGGGTGGCTGTTGAGCTGCTATACCGCACCGCAGGAAAAATTCCCTAAATCGCGACAGCCCTATTTCAAAGCAATTTTTTTAATTTCACAATTACAGTTTAACAAGCACATGTTGGTTACTACAAACTGTACTGTACATAAACAGCCAGTCACTTACTGCACTTTTTTTTACTCTACCTACTCTAGTATTTTTATATTTTCTTTCTTATTTCCCTACTCTATTTAGCATCTTTGATATTCTAGTTTAACATTTAGTGTAAAAGATTTATTTAGAATCCTTGTTTTTCTTGCATATTTTTGAATGATTGTACTGCAGCAAGTAATTGTACTTTACTATTGCAACACTAAAATTACCCACTGTGAGACCTATTTTATTAACCCTATTGATCTTGTTTTGCATTTTCCAGGTTATAATGATGGCACACTTCCCATGGCAGACGCTCTCCTCCTAGAGTGTAGTTTACATGCAGAATAATAATGCATCGAGAGAAGCTGAAATGCTAATTTGTGGTGACAACTGACAGACAGGTGCAACTTTTGACAGACATGCTTCACATAGCATTAGCAGAGTGTGAATATAAACAAACACAGATGAGATGATGACAGGTGCTCAAAGTTCTCCCAAAAAATATGATTGCAAAATACAAATATCATTAATAAAGGGCAGGCCTGCCACAATAACAAGTGTGATATATTGCTCATGTAAATATAGGGGATAAACAATAATATTAAAACAAATTTATGCCATTGACACAATAACTCTAAAGCAGAATTATCCCCAAATAACAATTCTAAATGTACCATATGGTTAAAAACACCAACTGCAATAAATAAATAACCAAATTAAATACTGAGTTTGCGTCTATAATCAGTGAATGAATGAGGTATTTGACCCTCTACAGCTCAAATGTTATTGTGTTATTAAATAGTGACTCCCTAAAATTATTATTAACAATTATTAATGAACAATAAGTCAATATAGTATTTATCGTGACAGGTCTAATAAAGGGTTAGTCAATAAAATACTTACTCATTAATGACAAGATCTGGAGCAAAGCAGAGCATGTCGCCATTACACTGCTGATAGGACCTCCATCCCAAACCAAAGGACATGAGAAAGAGCCAGGAGCACTGCAGTAGGGTCATTTGATCATCAAGATGCAAGTTCCTGAATCCTGAAGAAAGAAAACAAATGACTTTTGAACACAATATTAATGCAGACAACCGCCACTTTTGTCCACCTCAAAAAGCCTCCTTAATAACCAATTAAATATCAACTATTAAAGATACATAACTTTACATACACACATACATACAGAATTTTTCACAAACTATAATGATTGACACATTTATACACAAATCTATAGGAAGATTTGTAATGGTAATTATAGTAATCTTATCCTTATAACGTAATTGTTTTTAATAAATCCCAATAATAAAATGCACCACATTGTTTTCTTCACACCCAGAGAGAGCCCAGCACAAACCTGGCAGGGACTTGGCCCACTTGACAGCTGAGATGACCTGTCTGCCCCCCAGTCTGTTCAATGTGGTCATTAGGCGAGTGGACGTGTCAGGCAGTGTGCTGTCATAGCCCGCGTATATGGTCTCAGGCTCGATAGCTTTCAACAGGGACAGCATGGTGGGCACAAGCTGGGGCATACATTTGGGCACAAGGGGGCGGGGCTCAACAGGTGGAGAAGGCTGAATCGCTTCGGACACGTTGCTCTGCTGCACACCTTTTAAACGGTTCTTCTTGATTTTACGAGCTACAAAAGGCATGCATACATTATTATTAGTTAATGAATGGAAGAAAAATTAGCATTAATTGTGTGACCATTATTATGCTACAGACCTTCCAGGTTCATGCCAGCCATAAGACACTTGCGAAAACGGCAAGCGGGGCAGTTCTTCCTCCTGATTTTGTCAATGATGCAGTCATTTCTGCCAGCACATAGGTAATTATGTTGCCCTGTAGCACAAAGAAATGTTACTGACCACATTGTGTATGACAGACTCATTTTAACACAGGCATGGTTTATCCCATCTGGTGAGCTTCAGGTGGCAGTGTACCTTCAACCGCCCTCTTAAAAAAGACCTTGCAGCTGCCGCAGGTGAGAACGCCATAGTGACAGCCTGATGCTTCATCAGAACACACCAGGCAGACTTTATGAGCATTGTTTTTGCCTTGTGCCGAGGTCGGAGCGCTGCTGCTCTCCTTACGAGTGGAAGAACTAGAGAGAGGACAGAAGAAAAAAATTTACTAAGTAAATGTACATTTGTTCATGCTGTAAAAGAAGGTTTAAGTAATTTACTGCATAACAAAATACAAAAAAATCATCTTTTGAGTCAATAGTTAAAAAAATTGTTTATAATAGAATATGGTTATAATAGAATATGTTTTTCTGTGCATTTAATATCACAATCAAAGTACAGGAACATCAATTTTATTAAAGCAACTGCTAAGTATCAACACTAGTTAACGGACTTCTTCAGTAAAAAAAAAAAACAGTTTACACTATGTTTGTTTCTTAAAAGATGATTGATTTTATTGTCTAACTCAGTGCATACGTCTTTTCCTCTCTATCCTGGGTTTATTGGGGAAAAAAGAAGACTGCGCTCCATTGTTCACAGTCAGCCTTTAAATACTTTGTGAGCCACAGGTCACATCCTAAAGCAAGATGTGTTGGAAAATAACATTTGATGAAACTGCAAATATTTCCTGAAGTCAGCTGCTAGGCAAACATGTGATGTGTTTCCTAAAAGCCACCACAAGGGGTCGCTGGACTTTGCTGCATCCATGCGACAGCAGTACACACCCCCTTCTTAAAGAAGTGGCTCATCGTAACACCACCCACAAAGGACAGAAGCTAAGCCTATGCAACTTCTGGAAGTATTCACCCAATTTTACAACAAAGAAAATTTATCACCAACATGCACATTTGATCACAGTTCACCTTTTATTGTAGAGCAGGAAAACATGTGGGCATAGCAGAAGGAGCAAACCTAAGCATAACATAAAAGTCTGAGGTCTAGCAGCATTTAGGCTAAACGAGCAGAGCAGACAGAGGCTCTTAGCACACCGTCTCGCCACGGCAGAGGAGCTGAGAGCTTTCAGAGCACACTGTGGTCAATAAGTCTACATTTTCCACTTTTGTGCTGACGGATTACCGGAGTCATCTCACTGTTCGTTATTCCACACATCACTCATGTTGAGGAGTGGCCAAAGCAGTGACCCATGAACAGGAAACATATATAACTTTATGGATGTGTAACCAGTTTACCGCAACAGAATCACTGTGATCCACAGTCATTAATGCTATAAATATTTAGTAAAAAGGAGGTAATGAATGACACAGTACACAATAGTATAGAATGTCTAAAATTCTCCCCCATATAAAAAAAAAATCTGTCTTTGATGCTCCTTGTGTCGTTATTAACATCAAAAATCTACACTGTTCAAAAAAGCTGCTTAAATATGAATTACAGCCAATAAGTGACATTCAAACTCCACAAATTGGATGAAAGAAAATTATTAATATAGAAAGTATCTGTGCCACCATAATCTGGACAAAATGTATGGGAACCACTGAATAGTACTTTTTCAAAATTTTGTAAAAACAAAACAATAATAGTAAGTGAATCCATAGTGAATCCAATCTGTACTTGTAAACCTAAAAAGGCTCTTAATCTTCCATAAAGCTGGTCACATACTTGAGGAATTGTCCTATATCAGATGACAAGAGTTGTAGTATAATACTGTTGTTTGGTGTCAATAATCGTGAATTATTTTTTTATTGTGCCACAAATATAATAACCAAAATGACATTCCTAATTTTAATAGGTTGATTTCTTAATAGTCCTTAATAAGGTGTGTTTCCTCCACTTCTCTACTCCTCAGGGTTCGACACAAAATATATTTAAATTGTAATTCAAAATAATGAACTTTTTATATTGCAAAAAAAAAAAAATTCTAATTTATAATTACATTCACAACCTTTGACTTCACCCCCACATCAGCTGCTTTTTCCCAGTTATTTTCTCTTGACAATGTAGGGTCATATACTGCATATACCTTTCATAAAGAGCTGTACTGCCATTTATGATATAAACGCCATGCCATATGTCTCCTAGGACTGATGAGGTTTCCCCCCTTTACGCACTGCTAATAAGTCTCTCGTCTGAGGTGGGGTGAGGAGGATGAGGTGGGGGGTGGGGGTACTAGGGGGAGTCAGTGTGTGCTCCACTGCCCTGTAGAGAATGTGTCAGTGCGTCAGCTTTACAACGACTGGTTCAAATCCAATTACGGTGGGCTGTGCATGCAACAACAAACTAAACTCTCTTCAATGTCAAATTTAAGGTGCAGTATGTAACTTTTCTGGTGGAGGGTACGCCAGCTGCTTCTCTCCCTGATTTGTTTTTGGCTGCTGCATATCACATTATTATTAAATAAGTTTAAAGGCAAAGTAAATATTATAAAAACACACATTATTAATGTGAGTAGGATTGACTCTTCACAGATCAGACCCAAGTATGATTACAGATACATTTTCTGTCATATGGTGGAGTGTCTGAAGCAAAGCAATATCATGGAGACAAGTTTTCCAGAAAAGTTTCATAGTGTGCCCTTATGGTTTGCATGTAACATCAGCACAACTCAGTTTACAGCAATCACAACCTTACAACAATAAAGGGAGGCCATATTTCCTCTTTTTAAAAGCATCTGTTAAAGTGACATCTCCAGGAAGTGCTTGCATTCTCAAGAGATTATTATCGGTCAGAAATCAGAAGTCTGCTTCCCTCATGTAGGCCTCAATTCAACACAAAACAGGCTGCAATAAAGTTTACTGCCATCATCTGAAGGAGTAATCAATTGGCCTGGTTTCAATGAGGCAGGTCATCTAATGCACTTAGCATAATGCCAGTGGTCCAGTGTCCTGCTTAACTATCCATAATCTCTAGGATTTAACCACCTATGTCACGAGCTCCACTGGAAATCTGTCTGTTTCCCTCAGACGTCAACAACAACACCTTGACTGAAAGCTGTTACACTCTGACCATTCACTACAAAACATAATATGCAAAAATCTGTCCACAAAGGAAATTTTTAACTGTAACAGAGTGGTATTAAATCAAAATATGTCCTCAATATGGGAAAGAAGAGGTGGAGCAGGATGCCGTGGTTTCTCCCTGAAGTTTTTAAAAATGAAGAAAAAAGATTCTGCATGTATAATCAAATCCAGGCTCTTCAGTATTTGCATTAAAAAGGGAAAAAGTGGAAAGTGGCCCTGCTTGGGGCCGTTTCTCACTTGAGAGAGCTCAGTATTTATCATATATACATTTTCTTTGCACTACAGGGATTTTATTTATTTATTTTTTTGTTATTTTTTGAGCCATAATAAGACTGATCATTGATTCATAACTTCTATGACTCATTACAGATGCAAATTAAGTACTAAATAAAATCTATTAAACTATTTATTGCAGCTTAAGATTTTTTTTTTTTTTTGCAATATTGTAGAATTAATTAGAATAGTTTTTGTGGTATAAAGCTGCTCCTGAGCTATTGTTTCACTGGCATAAATTCATTTCAATATTGTTGTTTATGGTCTATATTTACTTCTGCGATATATCATACTTCAAAATTTGTTATGACGACAAGCCTAGTCACAGCTCATATCAATAGAGAAGTAAAAAGGTACATCTTCACTGTGAGTAGGCGTGGACAATGTGCCAAAAAATGTATATTACAATTTTCCTGGAGCAAGATCACAATTTAAATTTTATCACAATTCATGCGCTGTCAGTCTCTTTATATTGCCTTGAAAATGTAAACTAATCTGCATCTGCTAAAATTTTTCACTGCATTCCATTTGGTTAAATGCACCTGCCAATCACTCAGAGCACTGCTGAGGCAGAACATAGAGCTGTATTCAAGAAAAAATTAGTAAATCACGGTATGGACATTTTAGCTTATAGTCACAAGAATGAGATCACTGTTCGAGTTTTATGACTACACTCACAGCCCTAATTGTGACTGTTGTATCAATAATTAGTCAACTTCAAGAAATACTTCTACCTGGGGCTTCAAGATTTTTTTTATTTTGAATTAAACTAAAGACTAAGGTTAAATTATGCCAACCACAAAACCCTGGTCACATTTGCTGTAAACTCTTGTGAACTTAAATATTTGCTTAGCACATAGTGTAGCCTAAATAAAGCTTCATTTGAAATGGTGACATCAGTTGCAGGTGATAGTTTATGTACTTTTGTAATTACAAATGTTATTTTGCTGAAAGTGTGGCCAGGAGTACTACTTTTGTTTAATTGTCAAACATGTTTCATCTTTGTAGCCTGAAGTTGTATGTTGTCTTTGACCGGTGAAGACAAAGCCAGGCCTTAAGGCTGACTGAGTTTTGGTGTGACAGTGAGCAGAGGTGGGTGTGACTTCAGCAGAGGTGGGTGTGGCTTGAAGCTGTGAACGCTGCGGCTGCTACTGTGTGCAGCTGGACACCTCTGGAATGTGGGAGGGACCAGCTCCCGAAGTCCACTGTGCTGACTCGACAGCTGTACACTAAACTTAGATGAGGATCGGCAAACAAAATGCAGCCTTGGCAACATCCTCTTAACCCCAATAAGAGACTTTTAAAAGCTGCTACAGAATTAAATAAAAAAGGCAAAAGTGCAGCTCCATTGGAATGCTGTAATAATGTCAAAGTGCTTGGAATGGCAGGCATTTGATTTGGCGTTCACTCGGCGCCAGCTGCAGAGAGAGAGGCGAGAGAGAGAAAGTAGGTCAGGAGAGTCGGTGCTGCGGTCCGCCTGCCCGCTACAGCGCTCATGTCACGCCCACATGCACAACACACACGCATGAATAATACAGAGCCCTGACCCACACGCACATAAACTCACACTCAAATACTAGTGATTTACAGCTACTGAAAGCTACTGCTGACAGGAAGGGCCCTGGCTGCGGCTGGAGGAGGCAAAAATAGAGGACAGAGCAAGAGAAGAGATGACTATGACCAAAAGCAAAGTCAGAGCCACCTTCTCCACTAAAATTATTCTGATGCAAAGACACAGCCTCACTAGCACCCTCACTAGCACTGGCTCACAATTACCCCGATCACAATTATTTTGGCTGTCCCTGTGGTTCAGCTATCTACATACTTCTGTTCACCAATATGTGACTAAACAAGAACTGCCCTGACTTCCCAAGACAAAAATGTTGTTGTAAATTCAAATCTAAAATGTAAAAAAAACTCCCAACTGGACAAGGGGTTTGTTTCTGTTTGTGTTTGAACAGTGTCCTGCTCTAGATTCAGCCATGAGTCACAGTTTCCCAAGTCAGCTCAATATTCCCCACACGCTTTACTCTGTGGTGACAAATCTGGTGATAGACTCGTCCAGGCGCTGGTATAGTTAGCTTCACAGAAGCCGTTTCGCACAAGTGGTTACTGTCAGTCTTACACATTTCTGAATGAAAAACAGGAAGAAACTTTCTTTAAAGTCAAATCTATAAATACAGGACATTACAGACACAATAATATTGGTACAATTCATTCATAAAAATTATTATTTTCACTGATAAATAGTATTACCATTTATAAGAAAGAAAAACATCCCACAGCAGTTGCACAGAGTCTGTGCTATTACAAGTGGCCTATAAACAGGACTCTGTGCTTCTGTTCAGGCCGTCACAGACGAAGAAGGAAATGCCAGGCTAAAAACAAATGTTACATAACAGAGTTTGACTAGGCGTGCTCCAATTCAACAGAGGAAATATTTCTCTTTATTCTTTTCTCTACGCGAGAATGCTAATCAGGTTATTATGCCAAAATAAAATCATCCAGAAATCAGCCAGTGCCTTACTAAGGCTGCTGTCTGTCATGTTAACATCATGTGAAGTGTGATATATGACTGCAGAAAATACTGCCATATTCCCAACCACTTTATGGCACCGATACTGTACTCTGACCCTCTAGGATATTTAGGCTTAAGCTTTTTAAAGTCATGATATGTTTATTACTCTAACTGCTTGTGCTTTAATTAAGAGATTGCTGCTGGGCAACAACTTTCTGAACAGAATCAATTAGATATTTTGCAAAAATCTTTCAACCCATGTATTTACATGGTCTAATTTCACTTCCATGTGCATATCAGGCAGTTCAGATTGAATATTTCTGTGAGGGTGGTGCTCATTCACTCGACCTGGCTGCGTTTATATGACTTTGGTTACGCTTAGAGAGTATTTATATTTATTTAGAACGTATCCTACACCACATGAAAGTGGCCTAACTCTTACAATTAAGTGCAATTTCTGTTCAAATAAATAAATAATAATCAAAAAATGCTTTTTGATAATAGTATTAGTCCCTTATAGAGAACATGCAATCAACGATTTTTTTTTTTTATATAATGCAATTATCATCACTGAATAATACATACATTTGTATCACATGATCACTATTTACGAAAAACAAATAATCAAATCATCATATCAAACTTATATCCAATTATTAGTTTGAGAATTGATTCTTCCTGGGTATAGGTTTTCTTCTAATCAGTTTGCAGGTAAAACCAAACTGTAAAATAATGCAGACGGCCTAGGGATTAAAACGGTGCTTATGAGCTTGTGGTGTAAGTCCCTGCAGGCCCATCTAAGAGCAGAGGAGTTGAGGGCTACAGCAGGTCACAGCTCTGTGTTCTAGAGGGCAGTTGTGGCGTGACAAGCCCGAGGAGTGGGTGATGCTAACCTGTCACATGAGGTAGAAACAGGAAAAGTAACTCCCTCTAAGAAGCAGCAGACCAATCCACAACACACCCAAATTTTAAAGATTTCAATGGGCTAATATTGAATATCAAGGTCACTCCATTAAGTAAACAGAGGTGAGGAGTAGTAATGTTATTGACAAAACAAAACAAAAATAAGCTTAAGCAAGTCCAGGTCCTGCCGATGTGGCCACTTCCAAAGATTGCGTGCCATTTTAAAACTGCACCTGAAGCTAATCACGACCTGTCCAATGAGTTTACACAGATGAATGCATGAATGCACGGGCAAAAAAAAAAACTTGTACACAACGCCTATGATCATGTGACTAGTTCCTTAGCTACTCACAATGTTGGCTGTGAGCTGGGCCTCACAGCCAACATTATAGCTCAACCCTTACAAGTCTACAAGGCTACAGAGTAATAACCTAACAAAAGACACTTTGTAAGAGTCGGCAAAGTGTAAATAGTGGACCAGCTATGTTCAACTGAATAGGAGCTTACAGAAGAAAAAAATGTATAAAATTACAATTCTACAGTATCACAGGATCAAGAAACCGAGGTAGCAAGCCAGCATTTCCTTTTTGCTCACAGGAGAATCCTTTCCATTGAGTTCATGCCAAAATTTTTAAGGAATATTTAATGGAATATTTATGGAATATTTAATTGAGCAATATGTTTAAAAACAATGAAGTTGTTAAAGAGATGCATTTAATTCAGTCAAATAGCCATTGTTTTGTTTGTGCAATTGTGTAATGGCTCATCTTTACCAAAAGTAAGATTTAAAACTGTTGTTTGGTCACAAGAGAAACAAGTATGTGACCAAAAAACACATGTACATGACCACTTATTTTTATCTAATAAATGATGCAAGATTACATGTTATAATGAAAGAAAGATACTAGACATCTGTGCAAAATGTGTCTGTTTCACTTACAGTCCCATACCAAGAATCTAAACATGTCAGAAATGTACTGGATTGAATACAGTGATGTATCATGTAAATGGAGTGTGCCTTGTTGCAGTGCGCAGTACTGACTGTTTCATACCTGGTAAAAGTCAGAGAAGCGCTGGAGAAACTCTCATTTCCTCTGTGGATGCCCGAAGTGTCGCCATTTCCCTGGACCCTGTTCCAAGAACCGCTGACTGTTGTCACTGGGAGGTACAGTGTAGTCACAGGCTTTTGATCTTTTTGCTGCTGCGTTTCATTGCTCACTCCAAAATGAAAGCTCTGTCCTCCTGACGTGCTCACACCACAGATGGAAATAGGGTTAGACCTGGGCAGATTGGTGGAAGATGTGCCACTAATTTGGCAATAATTCTGGCCTAAAGATGTCTTCTCCTGCTTTATCACCCCAGGGGTGCTCAGCTGAATGAGCCCACAGTCTTTCTCTTTCTTCACTGAAATAGACAAACTGGATGAAGGTGTTAGAGGGGAAGGTGTGGATGTGCTAGCACTCGTCTGACTGGGACTAGTGATGTTACTGCCATTAAGAGTAACTGTGCCACAGTTATTGCTGCTCTCAACAAGGGTCGGCTTAGTGTCTCTGTCAGAGCTGACATCTCCAAGCAAAGAGTCTTCCCCCAAAGTTGAGAGGAAAGCATCATCACCAACATAAAAATCTGACGGGGACCCAGTGAGCTCAAAGTCCTGAAGGAGATCCAGAGTGTTATCACAGAACAACTTCTGGTTCACATCCATATCTTTGCTGATATGGTCAAAATCATGGTCAAGGTCAATGGGATCTGGTTCTCCTTTATCCATAGAGAAGTCCGTTTTCAGGGGGAAAAAGTTTGGATCTGACCCTCCTATGAGGGAATCCATGGAGGACTGGGCACTGTCCTGGACTCTGGATCCTAACAGATTTTTCTGATCTTTGGTTAGGCCTCTGGGCTCTTGGTCACCTGAGCCTACTGAAGCAATGACTGAAGAAGAGGAAAGGCTTTCTGAAAGGGGGCTGTTGTTGAAGCCGTTTGGGACCTGTCCTGGCTGCATTAAGGGGCTTGGAGGAAGTACTATAGAGGTGGCAGAGGCGATGGACATGGCACTGGGAGGAACCACTCTCAACAGGCCTCTCTCCTCGGAGCTCTCTGTGTAGACCAGTTTACTCAAATGGTCATCTCTTCTGTAGACCAACTTCTTTACTCCTCCTTTGTCCATCTGGAAAGTAAAATGAAAGTGAAATAAATAAACCACTGCCGTAATTAAAGCTTTAATAAGTGGGTAGTACAGATGTAAGTACGATAAGCTAACATTAGCATGTCATTTGTGTTAGTAGAACACGAACAGTAAATAATGAACAATCATTGCATGTGTTTGTGCAAAGTTTGCAAGCTTCTCCTGCGCGCCCTTGAGCTAATGTTGCTAAAGACAGTAAAAGCCAGTTTTACGCCCATTATTTACAATCCATTAACAAAACGGAACTGACAAATGCGCATTTACATTAGGCATATTTAAAAGTAACAAACCCCGAAAGAAAGTAATTTCTGTAGCGATCACATTGAGAGTTGACGAGTGTAGTGAATGCTAACAGTAGCATGTTGCTAAGTGCTGGCATGGCATGTAGCCTTGTGGCTAAGAGTTAGCACAGTGCATACGTGCCTACATTTCGATCCAGTGTCCGTGACAGTGCTCTAGGATTGTTAGCCAGAATTTGCCGTAGTATTTATATATATTTTTTCATATATTTTATTCACATTTACGTAACACACATACAGTTAACAAGAAAATGTATACTTACCCTTCAAATGACTGGTTGTTGATATGTCTGCACAGGACGTCTGTCAACATTGTTTTGGTAGAAAGTGTAGTCCAAAACATACACTCAGTATTTGTTAAATGTGGCCTGAAGCGCGCTGTCACAGCTACATGGCTAAAAAATACAACGATAGCACGCTACGCTAAACATTATTTATCCAATCTTCTAGTTTGACCTACCTTTTGAGGTGACAAAGTGTGTTAAACTGGCCAAGCTACGGAGAGGCGCAGCTTGCCATTAGGAAAGTAGGCGCTAACCTCCAAGAAAACATACAAAATGGAGAATCAGCTCACAGCTCACAGCCCCACTGTTTACATGGAGCACCGCCACCTGCTGGACATCTGCTGTCAATGCATATTGTTTTATAGTGCGTTTCATTATTGAAACTGATTTTTAAATTTTCTTTTACTGCTTTCGTTTCGGCCTATGAACCCTGTAAAATAAAGTAAGTCTATAAGATTAATTGATATAAATTGTTTTTTACTCAACGTTATCATAAACTAATTATGTTATTATATATTATATTAAGGACTTTTATATAGTTGCTTGATAGCTTTTGCAAGCGCTGACCTGAGCCTCCTTAGTTTACTCTAATTTAGGTAGTAATTAATTGTAAGTAAACACATTTCTCACACCACATTTCCTCACAGTGAAATAAACTATAAAAATAGACTGTGTTCTTTGAGATAAAATTAAGTAGTTTAAGCATAAGCTCAAATTAATTTCAATTTTCTATTTATACCATATAATTTCACAGTTGAGGGCCCTATTGTCAAAAAATGAGATTTGGAGTTTAAATAGTGATGAATTTTATAGGTTAAATTAAATGTGTGTTAAATGTGTATCAATGTAACTTTATGCTAATGAACATCTTGATCATCTACTATCATATAGCCTATATTCAGCTGAGACTCACATAGTGTTACATTATTCATGCTGAAGTTGCATGAAATCTAACCCCTTCAAAAATATAGAATGTGTCCAGGGAGTGGAGCACAAACAGGAAATAAAATGAAGACGAGAGGCTGGAAATGGGCTTTAATGGGAGGATGAGTGAGGTATAAACAGCAGGCTTTTATATGGGAGAGATGTCCTGGCAGCAGGGCATAAGAGCAGCCATCCCAGACAGGAATCCATGCCCATAATGTCATTTATTAAGCTTGTTGACCCACATATGTGAAAATTCACCTAATGCACACACACACATACACACACACAAACATACACACACACGCACGCACGCACGCACACACACACACACACACACACACACACACACACACACACACACAAACACACACACAAACACACACACACACATACACACACACACATACACACACACGCACGCACACACACACACACAAACACACACACACATATACATGTAGAGAGAGAGAGAGATGAGAGAGATGACCACTTTCGTGACCACATTCCTATAACATCTATGGGTTTAGGAATGATGAAAAACACATATTATCTATTTTAATTCATTCATTCATTCATTCATGCATTTATTATTATTATTATTATTATTATTATTATTAGTAGTAGTAGTAGTAGTAGTAGTAGTAGTAGTAGTAGTAGTAGTAGTAGTAGTAGTAGTAGTAGTAGTAGTAGTAGTAGTAGTAGTAGTAGTATCATTATTAGCTCTTTTCTGGACATTCAAAGATGGTGGGTGAAGTTTCTTACCTAATGACACAATGGCAGTTAACATTAGAGCCAATGCTGCCCCCCTGGGGCACCTGTTTTTTTGTTTTGTTTTTTGAGTGGTCTACTATCTAAGGCCTTGCTTAGCTTCTGAGATCTGATGAGATTGGGCATTCACAAGCAGGTATGGCCATGAATAGTCAAAAGTCCTCAAAATCTATACCTATATAATCTATATCACCTGTATAAACAGGAATCTGCCTTATGAATAGGCAGGTAGAATCAACATGTAGTGCTTCAATTTAAACTTGAGCTGTATGAGATGAGTCAGAAGAATACATGCTTTCTTTATATAAAAATGTGCTCAGCAGTAGTTCTCCCTACTGTTTGAAACCCACTCAGTCCCATGTAGCTGCTTAGCAACCCCTCTCAGCACAATATAGGCTACTCTGAATTAACAGGGCAAACCGTGACCACTGCCTCCTCCAAACCACCAGTCAAGGGTGCTCTCCCATCATCAACACCTCTGATCAGCATTGCTGCAAAAACTTTTTATTACATAGAGCAAAATGACCCACTCACAAATGTAAATGAGAAAACTCCAGATATTTTCATACAGAATGCAATCTCTATAATTTAAATGTTGCAATATTAGATAGAAATGTGCACACTTGTCTTAAATTGAGCTCTCTGTAGCCCTTTTAATTCCTCCTGTGTGGCTAACTGCTTTGTAACAAGTACACCGAAGTGGGCCAAACACTATAATTGACTGAAAACTGACAGTGGAATTAAGCTTAGTGACTGTGACTGCATTTACGCCACATACAAGGAAATCATGTTCTACAACAAGTTATCTAAGAACAAGTAATTTTTTTTTACCAAATGTTCCTTCAGCAGCAGACAGTTTTTACAATGAATGCTTTGAGTCACATAGCCTAGAAAAAATATTAGCTCTTTCTGTGATGAATTGAACAACATGACGATTGCCAAAGAAAAATACATTTTTAAAAAGAGAGTAGCCCAGTTCAAATGAGGTGGGGTAGTGGTGGTGGTGGTGGGGCTGCTGTCCATGGTGCTGAAACCATATAGTCGCTTCATGAGATTCAATGACGAAGAGATCCATTTTCTAATGTGTTGACTGTTCAACACAAAAGTGTCCCTTGTGCTTTATTGCGTTTGCTAGTGAAACCAAAACTGTATGACTATTCGACAGAACACCTAAACTTTGATTCGAAATTTTCGATTTTTGATTTGTGAGTTCATTGCTGTAATTGTGTATGTCTGTCATAAAAATAATACAGGTATTATTGATGTCAGAAATAATACTTCTCAGAAAGACACTTTTTCGTGGACAGATGCGTGTCGCGGACGCATCATTCTGCAGATAATTCTTTAACCAAGACACATAAGCCAGCCCCCTCTCCTCTCTTGGGATAAGCGTGTCAGCTAAAAGCGTTTAATGTGGAAGCAAATGTCTCTGTGAAGATTCGAAAGGAGGGATTAAAGTCCGCAGTGCTTGATGTTAGTACGGCATTAGATCCTCTTCACCAGCTGCAGCTGCATGCTGTTGGATAAGATCCGCGTATAAAACAGGGCAGAAATGTGTGCACTGTCTACAAATTTAATGTTCTTTTAATATGATATAGGGCATCACTTTATGGAACAATTTCAGCCTTGCACAACTTGAAACAAAAATGCTTATAAATCTTCTTTACCGTCTCCCAATCAGCAGCGTGGATAGATGGTCGCGCTCAGGAGTTGGAGCTTCAGTCTCGTAAGTGGAGTACGTTTCAGTCTCACTGTTTTAGTGCAGTGACCGGACCGGACTGTGTTCAGATATTTTTGGTACTGAGACGCAAAGAGCTGTGCTTTGGGCACAGTTGGTTGATGTTGATATAGTTTTTGATCCAATGGTATTTTTAAACGAAAAGAAGATTGTGTTTCTGTGATGTCCCCGCTGTGACCCTTTGCAGTGGACGTTTGTAACGCGATGCGCTCACGGGTCTTTGGTTATGACGATAATCGATTATTTTTCCTCAGGAAGTACAGTTGATCTGCACTTTTACGCGCGGGGTCAAAGTGAGGATATACAGTTCTTACACCTCGGGTCTTTTGGCGGGCAAGCACTGCAGCGCGTGATGCACCATGCCCATGCACTATACCCCACACCCTAAACTTCTGGGACGCCCCTTCCCCGTTTGACAAGACTCAGATTTCCCTCGGTGTGGACTAAAATGGCTCTAAGCGACAACTCTAAAACACAAACCGCAAAGGATTCTCCAGCAGATGTTATTGAACTAAACGTGGGAGGACAGGTGTATTATACGCGCCAAGCAACCCTGACAAGCTTTCCCAATTCGCTTTTAGGGAAGCTCTTCTCTAACAAGAAAGGATCTTCTAACGACTTATCAAAGGACTTCAGAGGACGCTATTTTATTGATAGAGATGGTTTTCTTTTTCGCTATGTATTGGATTATCTTAGAGACAAACAAGTTGTCTTGCCTGATCACTTTCCAGAGCGCGGACGCTTAAAGAGAGAAGCGGAATATTTTCAGTTGCCTGATTTGGTAAAACTTTTATCCTCAGAGGAGTCTAAACTGATTCAAGATGATTTCTGTTTGAGTGATTTTGACGATGCCTCGCAGGGCAGTGAAAGATTCTATTCATCTTACTCCTTGGACAAGAGATACGGCTACATCACAGTGGTGCTCAAAGGCGTATGTGCTGCTGGAGCCAAAGACAGCGATGCCAAAGTTAAAAAGTTGCCCCGTATTTTCATCAGCAGCAGGATCGGTTTGGCAAAGGAAGTATTTGGAGACGCACTTAGCGAGAATCGGGATTTAGACAGACCATCTGACCGCTACACGTGCAGGTTTTACCTTAAGTTCAGACATCTGGAACGAGCTTTCGACATGCTGTCAGAGAGTGGCTTTCACATTGTGGCCTGCAACACATCCCTGACAGCGTCCCCAGCCGGTCATTACGCGGATGACAGAGTCTGGTCCAATTACGCACAGTACATCTTCTACCGTGAGTACGACTTAATGAAAACTATGCACTCAAAATAAAACAAACAAACAAACAAACAAACAAGCAAATATTTTATAGCCTAGACTCTTTAAAATGTCTAATCACCATACATACTATAGGCTTGGGTTTGGATACTCAAGAGGACTCAGTAAAAACTAGCTACACCCAGAAGCACGTTCGCTTAGCACTCCTCTAAATCCGTGTGTTTCGTGCCACGGCTGACTTATAATTTCTTTTCTTTTTTTTTTAAAGACTTGCCCACAGGACAATGAGTCGTTGAGTCACAAACTGAGGTTGCCACTCATGCGTCATGCGTAAACACTGGTTATTGCTCAGATCCAGTCAGCTACCCATTGGTTATGAATAATCTAGCACCAGTGGACAGTGACATTACCCGCGGTGCACTTCACAATCTCTAGCTCTTTGCTTTAAGTTTGAACAAACGTGTTAATTAGTAGCAAAACTGCTATGCTCGCCTTAAGTACCAAAGCATATGGTCAGTTAAAAAGCATGTTGTTTATTATTCTCAATGACTTCTTTAGAAGCGCCGAAAGGGGCTCACTTCGAGGGTCAGGAAGGAAAAGACCTGACATATGGTGAGCTAAGATTTATTATTGTTATTATGAGCAAATTATAACATGAGCATGCAGTGCATCCAAACTTTCCTGAGTCATTTAGCCTGGCAAAGCGTGGGATATGGAAGAGGCAGACTAAAAGCATAGAAATAATGGTAACCCTTCCTTCTCACAGTACACACATTATTGTCAATAATTAATGCAAAATGTATATGTTGGATTATTTATGTAGTATAAATATCCAGTTATTTAAAAAGATTCACTGCTGATATGGAACAATAATAATTATACATATTTAATGCATTCACCGTGTTCAGTAATAGTGGTCCATGTTATTTCTGTGAGTTTGAGAATGTGGAGGAAGAATGTGGAGTTCAGGGAAAAACAAGCTTGAAGAAATCTGAAGGGAAGTGAGCAGCACAGATGGGAAGAGCAAGAAACTGGAGGAACAAGGAAGTAAAAGTTGCATGAGACCTGGCCATGGGGAGAACTGCAGAGGAAGAACAAAAATAGACTAAAGTAGCAGTTTGGTCTTGGGGAGCAGTAAGAAGAAACACATTTTTTATGGAAAGAGAAAGCAAAGCAAGCAAATGCAAAAGGTGTGTTACTGCTGATGGAGGGACAAATCATGACCAAACACAAAATATATAGTTTCTTTCTAGCACTTTAAAAACACGTATTTTTTTTTGGTATTCAAGAAAAACACGTATTTTTAATAGAAGACAGTGGCTGGCCCAGGGCAGCTAAGGATACATGTAATCAAGTGCACTTCATGGGCGATAGAGAATGTGCATGTGTGCATGCTTTAATGTTTTTAGTGCAAAAAAACCCACAAAAAATGTATACTCATTACTTATTTGCGTTTCCTGTTAAGTTCAGTTCTCTGCAGGTTCCACAGATTTTAATTTCCCCAAATGCAACAGTTCATCACTTCCCTGTATGGTATCAGTTTCATCAATATGATCAGTCACAAATCCCATTCATCCATGAAGCCATCAACCTAACACTCAATTACAGGAATGGGTGTCTGCAGAAAGAAAATCAGTTTCTACTCATTTTTTAAACTGACATTTGTACTGTACATACATTAATTTAGTTTGTTTTCACACAGTGTCTATGACAAATACTAGTAACTAAATCAAACTGTCCAGTTGTACTCTATAATCTGAATCATCATGATCCTGCAGTACTCAAATTGGCCCAATGCTCCATAAACATAAAAACTAACCCTGTGAAACAATAGAAAAAGTCACACTGGAAGCATACAATCATTATTAACTTGCATGTAAACACTCACAGATTGAGGCTGTGCAGAGAATAGATGGATTGGTGATGTCTTGTGATGGATGGTGTTTCCACGAATTAGTCTTAAGAAGTACCTGGATGGAAAAATGGTCAAAGGTGCTCTGTGTGTGCCCTCCGACCATCTCTCACACAACACAATCTAAAGCAGTACATCAGATCAGGAAGACAATTTGCTCACCTTGAAAGATGATTTCTTTTATAATCACACTCAGGAGTATCTTTTACAGGATTAGCAGTTTTACAATAAGCATTCCAGTCCCAGAAGACACTGTACTAAAATATTTTGTGAAATATAGTCTTCTAAAAAGTTATTCACATATTGAAAGAAAAAAAAAAAAAACGAATCCTGCCACTGGGCATTACTACCAGTTATTTTTGGTGTCCCAAGCCGCATCGAAGTGTTTTAATAAAAACTTAACCAATTTATGGTATACCAGACCAGACAGTGTGGTCTTAACATGTGTAAAGTTTTGAGTTTTCTAGCTGAAATACTAGTTAGTAAAACCTCTTTCAGTCATAATCTAAATATCTTTTTTCCCTGTAGTACTGGTAGCAGCAAGCCCCTCTGACAGGCTGCACTTAAATTGTACCCTCAGAGAGTTCAAATATAGTACAATGGGAGCATCCTCATGTGGACAAGGCTCAAGGTTCACTCAGGACAGGGGACTCCCTGAAGTTGCTATAATTGTTCACTATCTTGACATGGAGAATTGACAATTTGTGTTAAATATATATATTTTTCTTTTTCTTATCTATGCTTTAGTGTGTTGCTGGTGAGATGTGAGTGAGATCATTACCTTGTTAACATGTTAATATGAGTCAATTCTTTTGTGAGAACAGAGACAGTGTTAAACAGTGGTGGCATGAATCTTTGTAGTTACAGGGCACGAAAAACACAAGGGGAGAATCTAGATTTTTAGACTAATTGATTTAAAGTTGTTGTTAAGGTACTTGGCAATAATTTGTGATGAGTGGTGCTGGATGAGATGTTTCTGCCACAAGGGCTTCATATAATTGATATTGACAAATCCACACAGATATAACAGACATGATTATCTATGACATGAGGCTACCGCTTGGTCAGAAATTGCTGAAGTCATACTTTTGCCCCAAATATCCTTATCTAGTTGAAACGGATTTCACTCACCCTATAATGCCTGTCACTTTCTTTGCAAGACAAGCCTTTTTCTTGCTACAAGGACATGCTGGCCTAATTTTTGAGCTAACAAAGTGTAAACCACAATCTACCAGAGGCACAGTCAAATTATTTGTGCCACTGGAGCTGTGAGCAAGTGAGTGTGAGACCTGAGTATCTTCACTGTAAAATGCCTGAATGGGTGCATTCATCTGCATATTTAAGCCTGCCAGACAAGTTTACACACAATGCACTCTGAATTTGCCCTGAACAACAACATAGACACATGACTATTTCGCACTTCATTTGAGCAAAAGCTGCAGAAGGACAAAAACAAAGCAGATTATTCTAATGTTGTCACTGAGATGAAGTTGGATTCTTAAACTTCAAACTGCCAGGTCCAAAAACAAGAACAGAAGAAGTTGAGAGAAGATGATGCAGAGGACAGGGTAAGATTGAAGTATCCTGTACCTTGTGACTTACTTACTGATGCAGTTTCAAGCATTTGCCAAAGAATACCTTGCTGTGATCTTGACTAGCCACACTCCGATGAATCAGTTTAGACTCCTAGTATGTACAAAACACAACTAGCCCAGTGACATTTTCATTTGTCTGACTCAGCTGTCACTATCATGTTCTACTTTTCAACTATTTGCTACAATCTCCTCATGGCTTCAATTATGGAGTATAAATATGATCAAAATCCAAATATTGTAGAAAATCAACAGAACTGTGGGTGCCCCCAGTCTGAGGACAGACAGGGATGCTTTTTGCTGGAGTTGCTTTGCTTTGACAGAGCTGAACTCGACTCCCGCTGTCTATGTTATTTATGAGAAGTGCCGACACAGCCTGGGCCTTTCACTGTGGTTGGAATATGATCTCTTATACAGGCCATATAGATCTGAAAAAACACACAGCAATCAATGGCTTCCCTGAAAAGATAGCAAAGTGTACACGCAGTTACTTGTTTTAATGGAGAAAGGCAAACAATGTTTGGAGACACGAGTCTGATAATGACTTGTTTATATTTTTTCACTGAAAACAATAAGAATTTCTGCTCTGGAAGACTTGAGTTTCAAGCAGCTACAGTATACAAGTATAATGGAGATGATTTCCAACTACTGGGTGGCACAGTGGCTTAAAACCTGCCACTTTAACCTGGTTTAGGCATTTCTTTGTGGTGTCTGCATATTAATTTTCCTCTATTCCCCCACCAACTGAAAACATAAACTAATTCTCCAGGTGGTAATAAGGGCCAAGTGTGTGTGTTTTAAATACATTTTAGTAATCATTTAAAAAAAAAAAAAAAAAAAAATCCCCAAAAAGCAGCCATGTAATTTCAGCCTTGTCAGTGGATTTATTATAAATCACTTCCCTGCATAGAGTGTGATTTTTATAAAATGTAATTTGGTCTATAGTTTCACAAACAGGTCAGCCCTCCAGTAGCCCTCAGGCTTCTTTCACACCTGCATTTGCCCAGAGCGTCTCATCAGCTGGTTTCGCCTCTCACTGCAGAGAGATATTGGTGCACTGATTGGCCTCTTAACTCATGGATTAGCCATTAAAAAGCTGTTAGTGACTCTCTCACTATCAACGCAATGCAATCATAGCAGTAGAGATACGCTCGCCATTACAGTGGAGGCAAAGAGGTTAAAATCCCTTGGACTTGATTCACAGCATGCAATGGGAGGAGGTAATGGACAAGTTATTGCCCCTTCTGTAATACTTGGTCTGCAGCTCACTACAAAGGCCATTAGGAGATTTTTAGATTTGCTTTTGATACCACAGTGATATGTTGTTGATACCACAGTGAGGTTTAGAAAGTTAACGGATAAACAGAAGGTGTACTAGGGCTAGGCAATATCATATCACTCATAATATGTTGTTATATTGCTTTGGGGATGATATGAAATTGTAATATTGTGATATATTTTGCATACACGCAGCCTAGAGCTGCTGGAACTGTGGAGAATCTGTACATCTTGAAACTAATAATGACAGAGAATGTATTTTCAAAGAACTCATAAGAATATTTTCATATGTTTCAAACTAGCTGGAACTAAAACAGCCAAAAGTTTAAGTGAATTCTTAAAACTATAATAAAGAGTACAAGTAAAATACTTCAAATACAACTGAGATTATCCATCTGTCAAGAAGATAAGTGAAACTACAAAGTGTGGTCCATTGCAGACTGCAGAGTATCTCAAAGGTTCAAGTAAGTTTCAATTACACTGTTTCTTATTTGGCTTTGTCAGATCTAAATCTGTTTTTCACAGTTTTGTTGTTTAACGATAGCACATTTCTACCTGTACGTATGTCTGAATGAGATCACAGCCCATGGATATTTTTGGAAACAAAGGCTGCTCCTGTTTACTGTCTTTACTTGAGCTCTTCACAAGCTAACAGGCAGCACAAACACACAGTACTTAATTAACAGTGTAGGAGGCAGCAAGGGGAGGCAAAAGTACAGGACAAAGAAAGTCAACCAGACTCCTCTGCTTAAAGTACATTGTGAAAGAAAGTGAAGAACAAACAGCAATTCACACTTTCTAATCTATAGATTTTATTTCTTCAGTTCTAAAAACAGAATCTGAATTAGTATTAGGTTCAATTGCACAGGTTTGCACTTCTAGGTTTTTCCAGATAAGCTGATTGTGTGGAGGTTGTGTAGAGCTTTGCACATGATAGATCCTCAATCAAGGTCCTGGCACGAAAAGGGTCTTTGGGCACCGTGGTCGCCCCCTGCTTTTTACACGTGGTCCCTGTTGCATTGAGTATTGGCCAGTAGGTTCACAACATTCAACTGAGATTCCTTGAGATTCCGACATTTGACGTGACTTATAGTTAATTTCTCTGTACTTACTGGTAGGGCTGGGCAGTTAATCAAAAGATTGATACACCATGTGTTAATGATATAGTGTTGTTGTTGTTGTTGTTGTTTTAAATCAAGAAATCTACAGCCAATCGAAGGAAAGGTTCTATTCTGGAGGAATTTTGTTTTTGATAAGACTAGATTAACATGAAATCAAAAATTATTCAAATATTGATCAAAGATTGATCAAGATTTATCAACATGAGAAAGAAATTATTATTTTTTTCCTCGTATCACCCAACCCCATTTACTGAGCTCATCCACATGAAACAAAAATTGGCACAAAGTCATTCAATGTCCTCTCTGTTAGCACAAGAACTATCCAATCCAATGCTAAAAAACACTCTGGGTAGGGTTAAAGTTAAGTTATAAGATATTATTTTTCACCTTCAAAAAGTGGTGCCATTATTATAAGATGAAAATAATAATAAATATGAATCCCCGATCCATAAGAAAATTCAAAATGTGTGATAAGTTTGATTAATTCTTTCAAAAACAAAAAATCTCCCAGAGAGTTACTCCCCTGGCTGCCCTCCATCTGAAATTTTGACATCATCATTATAATGTGAGCCCAGCCTTATAAATTAGAGGGGTGTGCAAAATACGAGTTTTATTTATGATTTAATAATAGATTTCAAATGTCTCTTTTAATATTTGTAAGTTGTAAGTAAATTTATTTGCTTTCTCAAAGGTTATACTGATAGGTACATAACATTAAGAAGCTTGAAACTGAGGCAGATTGGTTTTGCTTTGAGACAAGCCTTGTCTGGAGAATGCACTGTAGCTTATCAGGGAAAGCAATATGCACAGCCCACCAACTCCTGAAATTCAGCAATTAAATGTTAAAGGTACAAGCCAACATATTTCCTAAAGCACACCTACATGGATTGGAGGTGCTGCACTCCTTACACTGGTGCAGTTTTGTATGACTGAAATCGCTGTGTGAGCATTTATCAACTGCTGCTCCATCAGTCATGCTTCTCATTTAGATGATGGTTAGAAAAAATCCTTTACATACTAAGGACTTCTGTAAACAAACTCTACCACCGGTGTTTTCTAAAATGAGGGCAGATAACCAGAAGAAGGTCTCTCAGGATACTTGTAATGTCCCGCTTTTTAGAAGCCTATAAACAAAATTAATGGTTTGCAATATTGGTGGAAACAAACGAAACAGCAATGTAAGATTATATAGCCAGTGCCAGGGTCAGGGTCCAACTTTTTATTCCTGGACCCACAAAATAACCATGCACTCAGGACAATTCAATTGAAAACATATTAAATAGAGTGTTATAATTGTAAAATTATTATTATCTTCCATGCCATCTTGTGATCCTCTGTGCTCAAGCAAACAAAGTGTGTTTTGTGTTTTAGGTGGGCCGTCTAAGTGGTCGTCCTCTCACTGTGACTGCTGCTGTAAAAGCCACAAGAGTGAACACGAAGGCGAGAGTGGCACCTCTTTCAATGAGCTGTCCACCTCCTGCTCAGAGTCCCACTCTGAGGCCAGCTCCCCCCAGGGCACCGTGATCCGAGGACCCGTGACCCGCCCCCCATGCAACGCCCAAACTTTGGACCGCTCTATGACAAAGGGGCCCTCCCACATCCAGCAGCAGGCCGAGATGAGACGCAAGACTGACATGATGAGAGTGAGGACGTTCGGCGCCGCTAAGGGCAGGAAAATCAACAAGGAGAAGATGACTCCGGAGCAGGAGCTGGAGAAGTGCATCCAGGACTTCCGACGCATTAAGATTCCTGATCACTTTCCGGAGAGGAAGTATATGTGGCAATCAGAGCTGCTAAGAAAGTACCGGCTCTGAATGTGAGAGCTATCATATTACCATTGGTGAAAGGTATCAGAATACACAGGCTAAAAACAGCAGTACCCTTCAAGACACAAGCTGTATTATATGAAATTAAGACACTACTGTATGCCGCCAGCACTATAAAGTATCGGAGCACAAATATAAGGCTGTCTGAGTCTTTGGTTTGTCCAATGAGCACAGTGTCATGTGATAGGCACCAGTTTAAATCAGGTTTCTCCAATGTTTTACTTGTTCTGAGTGTTATCACTATAACATAACTGTACCACCAAGCAACAGAGTAACCTCAGGGCGACATTGCTTTTAGGAGAATGGACAAAACAGTATGCATAAATAAAAAAAAGTAATATGACAAACACATTTTTAAGTCCACCTGTGATACAACAGCACTAAAAATAATCTAACTAATGAATTAAATTAAACTTTATAGATGAGACAAAGCATTAGTATCAGTGAGGCAACATTCAAATAACACTGGATAATTCTTCAACATGGTGGTACTTTGTTGCATTGACAAACTGACCTCAAAGTTTGTGAGTAACACTAGGCAATGGTACCACTGGTATATCTTCACATACATGACACATACATATGACTTATTTTAGGCTTTCAAAACTGCACTGCATGTCATTTCACCACAAGCATAATATGCAATATCAGAAAAAAAAAACAAAAACTTCAATTCACTGTTCTGGTGATAAATAAAAATGCTTTTTTTTTGAGGAGCACACTGCCTAGATCTGTAAGCCATGTAATCTTTTTGTCAAAGTTTGTCATGTGTTGGATAGATGATGTTGTTTGGTATGTGATGCCAATGAGTGTTTGACAAATCCTTGACTTTAAGTGTGCAAAAAATCTAATAAATAATTTAGAATTGTATTTGGAGCCTGGCTATTCATATTATCTGATAGCACTAGTGAGGCAGACCTATTCTGGTGGTATTCTGATGATCTTGTGCAATTGTGATCTTTGGTTAATTTAGAGCAATTTATTCATATATTTGCCTTCTTAAGGGTTAACCCTTATTAGGAATAGTCCTATTTTTGATCTGATTCATCTAATAGACTCATCTTATATCTGGTGGTATTCAGAATCTTGTATTTGGTGTGACATCTTAGAGAGCCACTGCCCCAGATGTTTACATAGAGTTGGGACTCACACAAACCTGTCTTCTTTTTACTTTAATCACATGTCTAATGTGGATAATCCATAATCAGATTATCATCTACTGTATATATCTATAATGATGCATAACAGGGCAATCACTGCATTGCATCCAGCTAAATTAAAAGCTCCAGATCCAATATGTAAATGATACCTTCCTCCTGACATTGTAATCTGATTTTTCATTCAGAGATGAACCCAAGGAGGATACAATGATCTGTAAAAATAGCTACAGTATAGTTGAACATCCCAAGCGTGTGCCATAGGAAGTGCTATTTATAGTAGCTTTTCTTGTCCTCCCTATTTGTATCATTTGCATCGTTTCGACCTTGAACAGCATTACAAAGAACAGTTAACACAACTTTTAAAATTACATCTTGACAAATTCTTCTTTGATTTAAAGGGAACACAGCATTTGGATTTTCTTTTTGAAATCCAGTACTCCTCTCCTCATCACTGAATCTCAGATGTGCTTTAGATGATTGTGCATGTAGCGCGACTGTGAATCCAATACCTCAATGAAAAATGTATGCATGTGTTTTTGCATTTCAAATACTCCCAATATCAGAATGGAGGGTGTCCTGGATCGGCTAGGCTGACCTCGTTGGCCTATCCCACAGGCCTGAACCTGCCACTCTCCTCCCAGTCAATAGCTTTAGATCCCGACCCTGAACTATCATTAAATACAATCAATATCCAACATCCTTCTCTGGGGCTCAAAGTTACATTAAAAATTCAATCAAATACAGCACTGCTTCTAACTGATCTCATTTATCTTGCAGGGTTAACTGAGGCCTTGTCTTTCTCCAATATTATGTAACTAAAAGACAATGTAACTAAAGGCTACAGTACCCCGAAAACAGCCGCACTTATCACATATAAACATTATACAGTCATGTTGTGCAGCCAAGCAAGTTGATTTCCTTACAATGAACATGCTGTTATGAACTTGAGTCACACTGCAGTAATCCATCTATTGCCAAGACATATACGTTAGATTAGGCACATAGTAATCTGCATCACATTTATGTTGGAAGGGCTTCTGTCCAGCCAGATTTGTGTATTCAGCCTTGGGAACAGCAAAGAGTAGAGAATGAATATGAAATACATATCTTTAACTTGATTGATTGGATTGAAGAAACAAAAATTTTGCACTGTACCATAGCAATTAATCATTTATTTATTTATTTACTTTTATATTTATATTTATATGGAATGTTTCAGATCTGTGGAAAGGCAACCCCGCTCACAGTCAGAATGCCTGTTTTTCTAGGTATTTTTGGACAATAAAGCCAAGCATTCCAGCCTGAGCAATGACATATCCATAGAAACAAGCAGGTAACAGAAAAGTTACACGGTGCACCTTTAAATGTTGACGTGCAAATAAAAATCTCTTGACGTGGTTGAATGACTAGAGCTATCTGCTGACTCAGAGGAAAATGTTGTTTACACTTTTAACATTGTAAGGTATTTTCATCCTCCAGAATTCACTCTTACAGTGTAAACAGCATCAATAGCCAATACTCCATGTGCAACCCAACACCGCGTACAATAATATTTGCATCACCTCCCATCTTTATATGTGAATATTAATCCACCAGGACCACAAGCGCACATCTATTTGCTCAACACATATTTCCTACACTCATTTATGATAAGGGTCAGTGGCCCTCTTTGAATCCCCGTTGTGCTGTGATCTGTGATTATACTAAGCCTACATACAGTGGTCCTCTTTCATGAAGGGCCTGCAGGGACACACTTAGAGAAATGGGATCCAATTTGCAACCACAGAGTACATTTGGGGTCTAACTCTGGCCTGATTCTGCCAAGTCCAATGAGTGGAAATACCAGTGGAATGTATTACAAATGATTCTGGAGAGAAAGAAACAAAATGAAGGTGAATGTCACCGACGTCAGTGTGAGTGTAAAATGTGTAAAATTAGGTGATATATCTGGGATTTGGGGCTTCATGATTCTGGGGAAAGAATGGGAATTAAATTAAATATATGAAAGCATGTATGTACTTATGTAGGAAATACAATAAGAATATGTTACAGCACAGTTAAAATCTGCCTATGCACAATTTTAAATTACATTTCAAAACAAAAAGATTAAACTTGGAAATTGTTAGATATTGTGCCTATAGATATTATACCGGTGACCTAATCATTAACAACATCCTTAATTTAGTTTCTGATCATTTCATGTATAATTTTTAAGCCATATGAAAAAGGATACATTTGGGTCATTGTAAAAGGGCATTGTGAAGATCTAGTTTTACTTAACCACCCCCTTTTGTGATTGAAATAAGGCTGATTTAACATCCAACTAAACATAGGTAGGAAGCACAGACTGATGTAGTGCATCTGACAGGTATCATGTATAGTGCTGACTTCATCGGGCAAATGGCCAAAGTCTCCTCTTCCACTTCTTGGCGCCATCTTCTCCCAGAGCTGCAGACTTTGGCGCCAGCTCTCGTTGACAGCATGAACACTCAGTGAGGGAAACTCTAATACAACTACAGTCACTGACACACTCAGTACTGCTCTTGCTCACTCAAAACTTTATCCAAATGCCTCTGAGATCCACTTGGCAAAAGTATAAAACACGATTCCAGGTGCTTTGCTCCTAACGGTGCAAAGGTTGAGTGCTGAGTGGGGCAGGTATGTTGCTGCGCTCTTCGGGTTGGACTCCTGTGGGACCACAGAGCATGGGGGTGAAGAAGAAGGGCCATAAAATGAGAGTACAAAAGAGCATCCTGACGGTCCCTGGTCTCGTTACAGGGTCAGAGAAGCAAACTTAAATGTGCCGCAGTCGTGCAGGTGTATACTTACAGTTTCAAGTGTCTACTCCCTGTCATTTCCCCCTCATTACCTTATCCTCTTTTCAAGGACTGCTCTGAAGAATATACTGGCTCAATTAAGCTGTTCTGACCGGAAATCCCATTGCTCATAAATCACCTCCAAGGGCTACTGATCAGCAGCGTGGAGGCACCGTGGACAGAGCAGGCCCTGGTCTGTGCAGTAATATAAATCAAAAACAGGAATACAGAGGATATTGCACAGGATAAAATACTGTTGTATTCTATCGTAAATCCTTAAAATAAGCAGTGATTGTGGTTGAGTTGTGATATGCTAATAAATACACAGGATGAGAATAGACTTTAAAACCAGTTAGGAAGCCTTTCACTGTTCAAATTTAGTAATTGATTTTTGTCTGTGCCATTACTGCATGAAGATACTTAAGAGATTACTCAACTTGCCAGCTAATGTTTAAGCCTTTTAAATAATCAGTCAGGGAACATCGTTCAAAGATTTTATATACTTTGTGCAATTAGGAGTGCAAGCTGAAACCAGACCTTGAGGTGCTTTTTAAAACATCTTCAAATAGCTTCAGAGGACCTTCGTAATGTTTGATAAAGTTTCTTCCGTAAAACATGAGCCCTGGGTAGAGCCATGCTCAAAATGCATTGCTAAGCTGTTACAGTAAAGGTGGGATAATCTGAGCATTCAATTTGACTTGGAAGCGAATGAGGGGGTTTAATTAAAACAAATCCTTTATACAGCATGTGTGAGGGACATTTCAGAGCATGACTAGAACAAAGGTTATTGTCAGTGTAACAATCAGTTTTCACCATCAGGCTGGAGATGGCCTTTTATGCGGTGCAGTGAAAAAGATTTTGTCAGATTGATTAGATTTTTATCCAGTCTTATTCTGAGTGATAAACTGCTGTTTTTAAAAGATGAGGGTTACAGCACTGTGAACAGGATCTGCATATTAAACAACAAATGCCTCTCAGTCCCAGTCCTACTCATTAATAGGGTGTCCACCTCAAGAAAAGTAGGGACAAGTTGTTGGATGTGGTAAATTTAAGCTCAGATAATATCTGCAGTAACATAAAAAGTGTGACATTCCCTTTATGATGTGGGACGAGGGACAGGCCTACATGGTTGTGCACCCAAAAG